CATAAGCAGGTGAGTATGAAAATGGAGATAAATTTTCAGAGCCACAATCAAGAATCAGCAGGGGTATTCTAAGTTCAAACAGCAGAAGTAATAGAGTATTTTCCCTGGACTTTGCTCCTTGATTATATCAGGCCTCACAGCAGAATGTTCTGTTTCAAGAGCTGACAATTCCAGGCAGCAGACACTCTGCTCAATTCTGCTCTGACTTCATTAAATAGCCCCAGGTTGAAGGAACATACTTGCAGTGTACTATTTTCTGATTCCTTTTTGGTGGAATAATAAATGCTTCATGATGCACAATGAGCTCCAGTTAGCAACACAGTTGGTCTTACCAGATGGCACTAAATATATGGTGCTAGGAGCCATGTCAATTTTAGACCCTGGTCATGACCTGTGCTAAATGTATTTACTAGGACATAATAAGATGTTTACAATCACACTCACTACCCAATTCCTGTCGCAACAAGAAAGAAAACGCTCATATGGATGACAGAGGAAATGCTCGTAGTAGCACAGAACAGGTGAGCAGCAAAAGCAAAAGGTCCTGCAAGTGCTCACAAAGGATGAAGTACCTGGTGTAATTAAGATAGCAGTAGAACTATTCCAAGCTGCAGAAAATGAATCATTCCAAATGCAAACAAAAATATGTCAACAAATAAGGAAAACAAAAATATGGTCCACAGACTGAAAATGTGCAATACATATTCCAATTCAAAAGAAAGGAGATGCAAAAGAATACAGCAACCATAGGACTTTAACATTAATCTCCCACACAAGCAAGTGATGCTCAAAGTGTTGCAACAAAGAATACTAACCTATATGGAGCAAGAAATGCCAGACTGGATTCCAAAAAGGAAGAGGCACTAAAGATCATATTGGAAATATATATTGGTTAGTGGAGCACACTGAAGAATTTAATAAAAAGATCACTCTATGCTTTATAGACTACATTAAAGCTTTTGACACTGTGGATCAGAAGAATCTATGGATGATCCTGAAAGAAATGGGTGTGCCTCAGGACTTGATTGTCCTGATGCGTAGCCTGTATCATGGACGAGAAGCTATGGTTAGAACAGAATATGGAAAAACAGAATGGTTTCCCATCGGCAAAAGTGTCAGACAATCTGCATGCAGAATATATCATAAGGGAAGGTGGAAGGTGGATTAGAATCAGAGGAAGGAGTGAAAATTGATGGAAGATTCTTAATTGAAGGTATACAGATGATATGCTACTGGCAGAAAGCAGCAATGACTTGAAACAACGGTAAAAGTGAAAGAAGAAAGTACAATAGCAGGACTGCAGCTGAATATTAAGAAAACAAAAATCATGTCCACAGAAGATTTATAGAGATTTACTCTTAATAATGAAGAAATTGAAATTGTCAAAGATTTCCCATCTCTTGGTTCAGTCACCAATTCAGAGAGAGACTGCAGCCAAGAAAGTCAAAGAAGATTGAGACTTGGAAGGGCAGCAATGAAGAACTAGAAAAGATCATCAAATGTAAGGAGGTTTAACTGGAGACCAAAGTTGAGATTATTCAAATTATTGGCATTCGCAGTCACAGTACATGTATGTGAAAGCTAGACAGAGAAAAAAGCTGATAAGAAAATTGATGCGTTCAGAACATGGTGCTGGAGAGCTTTGGAAATTCCCTGAACAGAAAAACAGACAAGTGAGTTCTAGATCAAGCAAGAGCAACAGCTTTTTGGATGCAGAATGAGAAGACAAGACCCACCCGAGAGGGCAATCACGTTAAGGAAAGTCTAAGACAGAAAACAAAAGGGAAGACCAAAATGAGATGGACTGAATCCATAAAAGGAAGCCACAACCTTGAACTTGAAAGAACTTAATGGAGCTGTCATGGACATGACATTTTGGAGGGCTTTCATTCATAGAGTTGCAGTCAGAGATGATGTCACATAACAACACAGCTCCAACAGATGTGTTTGATACTGGAAGATGGGATATAAATGTGCATAATAAAGGCTAGTCCTTCTTTATGGCCCATAATTCTCCTGTGTGCCTCCCCAGCACATTAGTAAGTTGAATAGGAAGGAAAATGTTATTTTAAATTCTTTCAGTTGGATTTTGTTGTCTGAACTGAAAATAAACAGAAGGACCACATTTCCAAAACTCTTATTGTTCATAACTATTTCCAAACAAATTAGACTCGGATTATATTTGATTCAACTTGTCTGTAGTCTTTTTCTCTTCCATATTAATTAGCTCTTTAATTTTATTTTAAAATACATGTTCAAAAAACAAGCATTCAAACATGCAAAGCCTTATCTGTCTACCGTTATGAGGGCACAAAAACAAAACCTTTTTCAATGGCCATACTGGGAAAAAGCTCTTCCAATTTAAACAAAGCAAAGCTGAACTAAATCGTTGGCGAGAGGCAGAGACTATGATTATCTGAAAATATTGCAGCGAAAAGGCTTATGATTTTTCAGCGTTGGTTCCCGCAGTTCGTACCACTCATTCCTTCACATGGAGAATTCTGAATGGAACTAGAAGAAGCGCGCGTTTTACCTACGCCTTCGTGAAAACATAGACTTTATCTCTATGGTGGACGTTCGCGGATTCTTTTCACCCCTTCCATGTTTCCGGTGTGCCTTCTAGCCGTCTTTTATCTATGGAATCCAAAGTCTCTATGGGAAATAATCACTCTTCGTACCCTTCCGGTTAGTGGAGCTGAACTTCCGATAGCTTGTCTTTCTCTGTGTTTTCCTTGGAACTTTGGAGGTTGTGAGGGCAGCGCTTTGCTAGCACCACACCCCCTCCCCACAACCCTATGGAGCCACCCGAGCAGGTGAGCTGAGGGGCCCATGGCTCCTCCACGGCCGTTGTGGCCAGGCGCATCCCTTCTTTCTTAGCCCCGAGGCTTTTTGCGAATGGGGCGGCATAGAAATGTTTTAAATGAATAAATAAATAGTGCTGGTGGGTTACACTGACAGCCCACCTTATCCCACCCCGCAGCACATACGCTCTGATAGGGAATTATAATCTATAGTTCTGTATTGACGGTAGAGTTATTAGTCAGTCTTTTCTGTCAGTACAAAGGCTTCGTTTTAAACACGTCCTGGGAGGGAATGAAGGAAGGTAAGGAGCTGGGCAAAGCAACAGCATAATCCCTAACTACGGAGGCATGGGTATTTGTCAAAATGTTGCACATCACTTAGTGATTAGATACTTTTTGTATTAGTATATGGTACTTTAACTTGGGCCCAAGGAACTGAATTATTGATTTCTATGTGCAGGGGCTATTCTGTTAATGATTAACTTTACAGTTAGAACCTTGTACAGGCATAATGGGCCTTGTATGATGTTACAGTAGCTGTGTCACAAATGCTTTAGAAGGACTTCTTTGGAGATTGGTTTTTATACTGACATTTATATACTGATGGAAACTGTTAAAATGAAGAGATTTCTTGGTGATGACCAAGACAGCAGGATCTGGTAGGATACAAACCAAGTTCTCACAGAAACGTTAGAAAATTGTGCAAATTCCAATGCGGCAAACTGTCCTTGAAACAAAACAAACATACAAAAAACTCTAGTGGTGTGGTACTTGAACCTTTCTTTTGAGTCTTAATGGGCAGTCAGTAAAAATGCAAAAATAACCATTATTGATAATAGGTTTGTCGTTTTAACTTCAAACCACTCTTGCGAGGTTATAAATAGAAAGGGAAGGTGTGTCTTGAAATGTTATCTCTTTAATTTATTTCAAGTTTTGAGCCACCTGCCCTTGCTGGTAGACTGTCACAATGGGGGTGGTGATCATGCCATCCTCACAGATTGGGGTACAAGAGTTTGAGATACCAGCTTTTAAAACATCCTGTAATGTTATATGACTATAGTTCAACATCTCTAAGGCAGTGATCCCAATACATTTTTAGGAGCATTTCTATACTCCCTTGTAGAGTATTATAGGGACCAGAAGATATATCCGAGTACCCCTCATGCAGCCATAAACACTCCTGTGGGCTCAGGCATGGGACTCTGAGATCTGACCCTCTTCCTGCAGCTGCTACAGAAAAAACATGGTACCTGTTTTCAAAGCCACAAAAAACAATTTCAGACTGCTTTGGGTAAAGTGAAATGGGGCAGAACAGTTGGTGAGGGAGAGGAGAGCTTGGTAAACAAACCATCCTTTGGTTTTTTCATCATGTGTTGCTGTCCACCTCAGGTAAGTAAGCTAGATGGGCTCTGCCCATCTCGGCTTTATTGTTATTATCATTTGGAGTAATAGGAGGCAATTCTGCCTCCATCTTCCTCCTGCATTGTTATCATCAGCTCAGCAGGGCCTAAGCTATTTAGAAGCTTTTGCACTTGGAGGCTTTTGTTTAACAGGCTGTAGTCCCATAAGATTGCACTCTTGTTTTTTTACAGCAGGACTTAAGGTGCTCTTTTCCTTTTTGAAAAGCAGGCCCTCTACCATATCATAAACTGCTTTTGTGACTCATTGTTTCAAAGGTGGTGCAAGGCATTTGTGTTCAATAGCAAATTAAAAGTTAAACTGGATATTTAATTCTAATCACAAGGTTCCTACTCGTATGACTGTGGGCTGCACTTAAATACTGTCCTAGGACTTTTAGTATAATTCTAAAGTAATTATGGTAACTTTGCGGAAATGGCAGCTGCAGCTGTATTGGAGATTAACACATTCATCATGGCATAATCTTTTTTTGAGTTATGCTCAATGGTATGGTCTAGAATGTTGGTAGCTTTATTTCCAAGGGCGCTAATTCATGCAAGTGTGTCCAAAAGGCCAAAAAAAGAAAAGAGAAAGGAGAGAACAGGAATTACATGAAAGTGCCATGTTCAGTTACCTTATGGGACATACAAACCATCAATAAACATGGTTTTAGTTCTTCTAAAATAACATGTCTCAGGAACTCTTGGCAAAATTATCATAGACTTTTCTACTGAACACTGCACATCATCAGTCATCTATTTCATACAGTGACTCTGAATGTTTTCCCTTTTTTTATGAAAGAGACAGATAAATGTGCCTTACGTATTAACAGAAGAGGAAAAAAGAACCTTCAGAGAATGTGGTAGAGAGAGCTTCTTGTACAGATGTAAGTGAAACATTCTAAGAAATAATTTTTACTTGTTCATTGTGTTGTGCCAGACAATGATTGTCTAGCTTTGCAAATAAACTGTGCAGTTCATACCAGGAGAATTGTGCTGTCTGAGTTTACTAACAGTTCTTCAGATATGTGATTCATTGGTATTTAAATGCCATTCAAATAGAATTTGGACCACATATTATTATGAAAATTGCTTTTTACAAAATAATTGAAAATTTTTAGATGAATAAATGTGATTGTAGGTTGAGAGTGCATCAAGACACATTGACACCCTAGATGGCAGAATCCAGTAGATGTGCCCCGGGAACTCTTGTGCCTTAGCAGACAATATCGTGGTCATTAATGGAAAGCAGATTTTTTAATGTGTTAATTTTCTGTGGATTTTTTCAATTTATAAGTTCACTACTAAAATGAATATATGGCAATTGCAAATACATTATTAGACAAGCCTAGCATATTCAAAGTAGTAATTAATGTTTTTTCAGGTGACTATGCTTAGTGTGTGAGACAACGAAGATATACCACTGAAATTCATATATATCACAATGAGAACTTAATGAAAGTGGACCAACAAGCTCAGTACAAAATAGTTGAACTTTGTTGAAATTATGAACAATTTTCAGCATATCATGCAGCGGTCTCTGAACAGCTAAAATTAATCAGTGGGTCATATTGTTTCAGTGCCTTTGTTGAAATTTAACAAATAAAAACAAAGTAAGCAAACTACATGCTATTGGATGATATCCAATCCCGCTGTTTCACATAGACCATTGAGATAGTGCTGGCATAAGCAATCTCTAGCATCATGCCAGTAAGGTGTGCTGGCATGATGGATTTCCCTGGACAACCTGTCATGCCAGTATGTGCTATGGGTGCTGTCCTGAAAGCCACTTAATGTTAACACCATGCCAGTGGCATAGAGCAGCAGCATTGGATATTGGCCCAGAATCTTTAATTTCTTTTGTAAGCATTTCAGTAACGAATTCTATATAATATCCCATTTAACTGTCCTTAAATAGTTTTTATTTCTGCCTCCCTCCCCCACATGCTCACTTTAGGTCAAAAACTTGTGGAATATTGGGACAAAAAAATGAACATAGTATAAAATTTTACTTGCTAAATACAAGTAAAATAAACAAGCTAAATCTGATCTCTCTAGGGCAGGAGAGGGAAACTTAGGGCCCTCCAAATGTTTTGGCCTACAGCTCATATCAACTCTATCTAGTATAGCCAATAGAAATTATGGGAGTTAGCAGCCAAAACATCTAGAAAATCACATGTCCATCCATTGCCTTTCTCTGCTGCCTAAGACATTCAAACATTTTCCAATGCAAACAGATTTTCCTATGCAAATAAAATATTTTCTGGAAAACTCTGAAATCTCTGAGCAGGGTGCATTTCTCTGTGTGATCTAATATTTGATCCTAGTATTCACTGTAGCACTGCAAGAGATTGTAATGTATACTCATTTTCCACACTGAAGGAGTTAGACTTAGACTGTGAATTGAATGCCATACTGGAGGCATTCAAGAAGCAGATGGACAGCCATCTGTCAGATGTTTTAGTGTGGAGTCCTGCATTGAGCAGGGAGTCAGATTCAATGGCCTTATAGGCCTCTTCCGACTCTATTATTCTATGATTCTGTGACTTCCTTGAGGCCACCCAGTGGATTTTTTGGCCAGGGGAGGGGGGACACAGACAGTTGAACTTGCTTTTTCTTAGTCTAGTGTATTAGATATATATAATTTTGAGGTCCTTTCCACATGGGCACCTCTAAGCGCATTGTTGCACAGTTGCTTTGCTGAATACCACTATGCTGATTCTAGCATTGATGACACTTGCCACTGCAGTTGAGGTGGCCCATATACTTAATAGTTGATGAACAGTGGATTGGCTGCTGATTCTACCCATCCCCAACTCACAATAATATTCACTTTGCCTTTCTTAGGAAATCTTTGCTGCTGTAGATGTAAGACTAAGTTTTCAAAATTAAAAGTTTTCAAAAGAAACACAGAGATTTAAATATCCTTTCTAATCTTATGCTTACCTCTGCATTAATGAGAGCTTGAAGCTGCCTTGATAGTTTATTTATTAAATAAGCTTATATATATCTCTTACTTATCTATATAAGAGAGCATAAATCTAGTGGATGGCTTTCAAACAAATTATATAAATAATTAAGTTAACAATAGAAAATAAACTCTTCTGAATCAAATGTTGTAGCTATTAAAAGAAACATGCAAACAAACAAACTTAATCATTGACCAGGTACCAGGGGAGGTGGTGGAGATCCCATTAGTGAGGGTGTTCAAGGAAAGATTGGACAGCCACATGTTGGCGACAACATGAGAGAAGCCGACTGGAACTATGTTTCTATGTATGCCACAGACTGTACATTAGCTATATTTGCCCTACCAGCTATAATGACAGAATATTGAAGGGGCTCTGTATTTCTTAATGAAGGTATTTTTGCAGAAGGTCCCTTTATCTCTAAATGAATGAAAGAAAAAATTTCTGGCAATGTGTACTTTAGAAAGAAGCTTATTCGGTGTAACTCTGAATGCATTTACTCAGAAATAAATTCCATTGAGTTTACCAAGACTTACTCCTTAGTCAGTTTACAGAATAGCAGTCTGTTGAAAAGAAAAGTTTCCATACAAAGATTTTTTTTCTTTCTCTGTTTCATAGCCCTTCCTTTTTCTGCTGTTAGCATGATGGTCACTCAGATGTTAATTCAGAAAGGTAAGTTCCAAAGACACTTAATTGGATGTGCATTCTTCTGTGTAAAACTGTTATACTTTAGAAACCTGAATCTTCTCTGCCAGTCTTTAAAAATTCTTTATAAATCTCACTTGAAAAATGGGGTCTTACCTTTGCCAATTATTTAATCTAATAAATGGGGTCACATGCACTTTTGCATATTCCCCTGAGGGGAACATCTTGGGAACAAATACAAAAAGTGGGGGAAACCTTAGGTTGAGTTCCTTGAAGAACTTGCTGTGAAGGGGATGAACAATGTACCACCCCTTTTTGTAAGCCACAATCACCTATGTTTTTGGTTACATCTGGTAGCATGCCATTTGACAACTGTCAGATGCAACCAAAGGAGAAAAACTTGCAGCTTCTGGGCAGTGCCAAGAGTGGATACCTACTGGACTTTTCCGGCAGGCGTCCTCTTGTACTTTGCCCTCTCAAAGCTTCCCATATGTGTATAACTGCAACTGTGAATGTCTGTAGTTGTGCAAGTACACACAAAGAGAATTGTGAAAAAAAAAACTTTAAAATCGCTTGATGACCAGGGATGACATCTCCAAGCTGTTGCTGTGGCACTTTGAAGCTGTCCAAGCAGGGATCATGAAAGTTGGTTTGATAGCCGGCTTCTGCAATCTGAGAGAAAAATGTTTTATTTATTTTATTTATTTAAACGTTTTATACCCCGTCCACCACTTTGATGTCTCAGGATGACATACAACAAAGAACAATAAAATAGCAAAACAACAGTTTAAAGGGAAAAATGGTGGGCTCAGAAGAGTTCACAATTGTGGTGGGGATTGAGGGAAGTTAGTGCCAGCTCTTTTCAAGTGCAAATTGGTCCCTGAGTGGCTGTCACTGGCAGGTGTCTAGGCGCACTTGGCAAGAGTGGCAAGTGGTTTCTTAATTCTTGCCAAGAAAGTCAGTAGTCAGTCCTCTGTACCTCCAAAGTAGACAGCACAGCAACCCATTGTGGGTACCACCGCTAGAACAACCAATGGGTTGTCAGGGTGGCTTGTTACCTTCATGTAGGTCACTCTTCAGGGATCATTTTGAGCTTGCATAAAATGACAGCCCATTGTGGGAGCAGCCTATGTTGGGTTGTCATGTTGTGCAAACTTAGTCATTGCTTAATTTGAAGACAGAGGTTAACAGTGCAATTCAATGGATATCTAACCACAGGTAAGGGGTTTTTTTTAGTTTGTCAACAAGTGTGGGCCTAAAAAAACCCAACATGGGCATTTTGGAAGATTCAGGTTTAAACATTAGTTCAGGTTATTGTTTTTTTCAGCCTCAGTGTGTAGCATTAGGATGTAAAATATTGCAAGCTAACTTACTGGACTATGATGCTTGATAAGCATGAGTATTACCAGAAACTGTTGCCTTAATGCAACTGCAAGCACTCTTTGCATGTATAGATTTTCTTCTTATATTAAAGTTAATGCAGCAGTCCAAATGAATAGTCAACCTTCCACACTGGGGTGTAGGGCCCCTGTGAAAGTGGAAAGAGTGCAAATATCTCTAGCCTTCCCTTCCACCTCCATAACTCTTAATACTATTGACCATATGTGTACTGGATTGCTTCTCCCTCTTTCTCTCAGACCTCAGTCAGATCCAGCAGGGCTCCTCTATTAATTACATTCTTATTTTCTTATTCGCTGCCCTCCCTTTCACTCACCAGTGCCTCATCTTTGCTCCAAAGAAATGCCGGACAGATTTCTCTCTCTGGATGGGCAGGAAAAGAAAGCATGCTTTGGAGGCCCTCGCTATCTCCCTTTTCATTATCTTTCTATGGTGATCACAATTTTCTAACCAGCAAAACTTTTTTAAAAAATCCATTTAAGTATTGAAAGCAAACTCATGAATCAACTCCATGAAAGTCAAGGTTCAACTGTATAGCTCTTGACTATGCTGTGGTACTATGTTAAAAAGCTAGTATGTTATTTTTTAAAAAAAATATGCACATACAATACAATCCATGTGCAACTACAGGCTGGAGTCTTAGAGCCTACTTTTGTGAAAGCATTACTATGAAAACACAGCATGCTAGAAAATGGATTTTAAATTGGCCTAGTATTTAATTCTTTGCTGTTTCACAGGGAGGTTTTTTTGTCATATAACTAGTTCAAAACACTGATCATCATTTACTCTTTAAATAAGAGAGAGAGTGTGCTGTAGTGGTTAAGAGCACGGGACTGCAACTCAAGTGATCTGGGTTCTAGTCCCCACTTAGGCATACAGCCAGCTGGGTGACTTTCAGCCAGTCACAGGCTCTCAGCACAACCTACATCGGGATAAGATTGAGAGCAGGAGGAGAAGAATGATTTGAGTTCTTTAAAAGAAAAAAAGGTGGATTATAAGTCTGAGAGAGAGAGAGAGAGAGAGGAGACAGTGCTGTTCTTTGCATGTTTAAATTCTTCTGTTTGTATTTTTACTCTTTTTCCCTGACTATGTTTTTCCCTAACGTTTATTTTCAGGAGTTCTTACAACTCATACAAGGTTCGGCTCATTACCAAAAGTTGCATGTGAGTTTTAATAGTATATCTTATTTTATTTGTACTTAATGGTTCCATAGCTGAGTAAGGGTTTACAGACTATTTCATGAGAGACACTCTGTGCCACTAATAGCTGCATGACAGGCATGTGGGGCTGGGCTTTGACATCTTGAAATTGTGGTTTTGAATCCTGGCAGAATAGAGTTCCCCAGCAAAAAAGCATTCCCCTAGAAAGTTGCCTTATGGCATATGTAGGGAAACGGAATGCATAACTTGGATTCTGTGTGTGTACTTGGGGAAAGTTGCTTGGATGTGAACATGGATATGTATGCTTGCTTTAATGAGTATGAGAAAGCTTTTGACAAACATAAAGTTAATTGAGTTGTTAGTAAACAAAGGTTTTGTTTCAAGGGATAGCTGTATAATCAGAAACTGTACTTGCATCAAAAAGCAGCAGCAAAGGTTAAAGGTCAGATGACAGGCTGTAGAAAAATGAAGAGGAGTTTGATAAAGGGCTGTGCTTTCAGCATTGCTTTAAAAATTGCTTTTGTACTTGGAGAACATCTTTAATGAAGTACTTGCTGATCTGAACATAGGTATCATTGTTAATGGTGAGGTTATCAATAATATTTGATAGACAGATGATACAGTATTGTTAGCTGATAATTTAGACGGTCATGCAAAGATTACTTGACAAAATCAGTGAAATAATGACCACATCTAAAGATCAATGCTAACAAAATCAACCCAGAAAATACAGTTACAAGTTCAGAGTGAACATGCGGAATTGGTTGATAAATATAAATTTATTGATATTTGGTTGAATCAGCAGTGGGGTCATAATAATCCAATAAAAGTTAAAATAGAGATGAAGGAGCTTTTAATGATTAAAATTTAGTATCTAACAGAAGTTAATATTCCTGAGCCTTACATATTTTTTGATCTATCAGACTCCATAGCATGAAGGTTAGGTAAGTAGGTACAGAGGGCAGCTTTTGCAAACAAACTATACTCAGTGATATTGCACAGCACTGAAATGTATGCTAAACAAAGTAAAGAACATGTTCTTCATCTCTCAGGAATGTAAAATCCAGTCCAACAGGGAAATTCATAGCATAGTCCTATATATTCCTGTACATTTCTATTCAGCGATTGAGTCACTTGCTCCCAAATGTGTGTCTAGGATTCTGATCCTGGTCTTATAACAGTGAGTTCCTTAGGAAGCATTATTGCTCTGCTGGCCAATATTCAAAAAATCTAGGTATTCACTAAGAAGTATCTCAAAGTTTGTTCTGTGCTTTTAAAACAGACAATTCTCCACTGTTGTAGTTGCTGTCTGGGAATGTCTGCTGTCTACTTACCTCAGCCACTTTGTAACGCCTCTGTTTTGTTGCCATGGAGATATATGGTGGGTGGGGGGAGTTGTGGAGACATAAGAATTACTTCTTTAGCTCTAAGCTAAAAATTTGTTTGGCTTTGCATGTGTTTTTGTTGTATTTCATGTTAAACTATCATATTCTTTAAAAAATAAATGCCATAGCCTCAAGATGACTTAAAAAGTGTTTTACCTTCTTTTGTAAATAAGTTGCTGGCTTCATAGGGTACATCGGAGGAAAGTTTTCCTATGTGAGTAAATGCCAGGAGAAGTTTAAGCAGCTAGAGAATTCACCACTGGGAGAAATGCTGAGAAAAGGTAGAACAGTTCCACATGAGTAAGTAATCTTATGCACTCAAAATGGTAAATGTTAAAAAGGGAAGTTTGCTTTGAATATATACATTTGAAGTGATCATCAGTTGTTTGTTTTGGGGGCAGGTTTGTTATTTCTCCTGGAACAATTCATTGTATGCTTCCAGTAAACAGTTTGTTCCATATATGAGTTGCAACATCAGTCTGACATCTTGTGGCTTTTCCACTATAAAAAACTTATTTTAAATTAATACATTAATATTGATGGTTAATGGTGTTGCTTGTGATTGTTCACTTTTGAGTTTTCTGTAGAAATATGAAGTATGATTATTGTGGGAGTGATGATATATATGAAATTTTGGGGCATTTGTTGTTTTTGTTGTTTTTTCAAGAAGTCGGTTTGCCTTAGAAAGAGTTGTAAGATGCAAAATATTTGAGCATGATCTACTAATAGTAAAGTACTTTGAAGTCTGGTGGATTTAAATGGAAATACACAGGCAAGTAGTCAGTTCTTCCATAGAAAATGGAGAGGTTTCATAATTCTTGAATTTTCTAGAACATAATGAGATAAATGTAAGTAAAGAAAATATATTATCATCATTTAATTGGGGCAGTTTTAATGAAGGACAATTTCCAGTCCTTCATTTTTAGTATTTTTATCTCCTTTGGACCTGGAGAAATAGTAATTTGAAAAGTTAACACAAATATAAAAAATTGAATTTCTTAACGATTTGCTGTCTTCAACTTCCTTGTTATATACAAAGTCACATGGAAAAGGATGAAAAGTTTTAGATTGAATTTTGTTAATCTATATGCATTCTAACTGTTTTAAAAAGTTATTTTTACCCTCGAAATCAAAATATTCAGACAATATTCTAGGCAATTGCATTTGATTCTCATTCTGTTTCTTGTATAATTAGTTGATTCTTCCACCCTGCTCAACATGTAACCTTCTCAATCTCATAACCAACATTAAGGGAGCAGGAACAGGCTACTTACAGGATTGCATCTCCCTCCCTCCAATAGCTTTCTGTGTACGCACAGATTTCTCTTGCTGTCTTTCACTGCTTAAGTTTACACTGACAGCCATTTAGATTGACAGTTTCAATTTTTAACAAGATTTGAAGGAAGCAGTTGAAGCTGTTGGAAATATAACCTTGGTTAATACTAACCATTGTTAAGGTGGTTTTCAATGTAAGATGTAACAATGGTTATGTCTGGTGGGGGAATGTTGGGTGGGAAAAAGGCTAGTTCTGAGTTGAGATTCCATGTTTTAATCTCATTTACCATGGAGGTAAATGTTGTGTGTCTGGCAATCCAGTCTGAGGGCTAATTTTTCTTGATGTAGGCTCAGCTGAAGCAGTTTCTAAACATACATAGCATAAGCAGGGTGTGGGTAAGTGTGCCAGTCCTGAAGACTCCCCCACAAAAGGCATTTTGGTCTAAAACAGATGCATCCTCTGTGCAAATTGAAAACTAAAATGAAAATGGAAAACTATGAAAATTGAATATAACTACATTGGAAGAAATTTCAGTTATGTGCTTTTCCTCCCCAGTAGCTTGAATTTATTGCAAGAATAACAGTGAGGAAGAAGAGGGGTTGGGTGTCGAAGGAAAGGAGAATAGTTTTCCATTTGCCTTTTTAAAGGCAATAACTAATTAAATCAAGAGTGGACAACTTGTGGCCCTCAGGAATTTTTTTACGTACAGCTTCCATGATTTATCACCTTTGTCTCTGCTGATGGGAGCTGTAGGGCCAAAATATATTGAGACACAAGTTCTCCACACTTGAACTAAACATTCCTTTTCCCCTAAACCTGTTTCCTGTTCTGCACTGTGCCCTCAGTGATTCTGTCAAATGATTAAAGTATGGGCTGGGCTTATAGCATAAACAAGAGAATCAATGGTAGACTTTTTTCACCCAAGGAATTCATTTTAATTTGACTTGTCATCCAAGTTGCCTGTGTATTGTAGTGGTTTTTGAAGCATACTTTTAGCATAGATGGACCATCTAACTCTTAGGATAAGACACCAGTGTTCTTGAAAAATTTAAATTCTGTCTTAGAGTGCATCTAGTGCATCCCTGTTTCAGGAAAAGACTAGCAAGCTTGCCTTCTGCCACCACTATTTCAATTAGTTCCCAAGGAACCTAGGCTTTCCTAGAAAATCACTCCACTGTCCATCTATCTATTTATGTATCAAGATCATATATACATAGCAAAATATAATCAGAAAAAGTGAGTTTAACATTAAATGATTCAAGGAGAGATGAAGAGAGCTTGGACAGTGCAATTGATGAAGAGAACTTGGACAGTGGAATTGTTTTTGGCACAATGTGATTTAGCAGAACAGGTTGGGAGTTAACACTAAGTATAAACTTTATGGTCCTCCAGGCTAAGAAGAGGTAGAAGGAGTATTGTTGAGGCTCTGAGAGAAGAGATTTTTAATTCCTTGTTTGAACCATTTATTTATATTGTATCATTCCTCTAAGGAGGTGTGACTTTAATTTGGTAAGTCCTTTGTCTTCCTGTAGGAAAATGAGTTACAAAACCTTCTTGTAGTTCACTGTGGAATATACTTAGCCAGGACTGTTGTGCATTTTGTAAATCAAGTCTATTTTCAGACAACTCAAATTTTGTCCTGAGAAAGTCTGAATCCTACAACATACACATACAATTCTGGTAGACATGGAGGAGTGGCAGTGACAAATGCTAAGCACTGAAACTGTATTTGCTAATATCTGAAAATCCTCTTGGATAACATATGTAAGCACCAAGCTTTGGAGCTTTTGTCCATGTACTTTACTTAGCCCACTATTTTATTCAAAAGGGCAAAAAACTTGCTACTTAAAATTCAAAGTTGAGATTCTCAAGATGTGCTTTCACAGTGTAATCCTGAAATACATGTTGCCCTGCTCTTGGAGAGGCCAAGTAAAGTGTTTTATTATTACGTACGAACATAGTCTGTATTAAACAGTAGCAAGCTACTCAGAGGAGAAAATGAAATCATATACCTTATCCCAACACACAGACTTGAAAATAAGTATGATTTTGAATATTGAGACCTATATGTTCTGTGCTCAAAAAAATTCTGATTCACTTTTTCTGTTGCTGGCTGTACACAGCAGATGTTGCTGTTTGCAGTCTGGCAACTATCTCATTTATATGCTTCTGTGGTGGTTTACCTGCCTTGACTCCAAGGTACCACTAGTAGCATTGAGAGCATGGCATGAAGCTTCACAGTGTGCTAGTGGAGTCTTTACTCCACAAGTGCTTTTCAAACATTACAGACCACATGGAGATCACTTGCTATGAGGACAGAATTGGAAAATTCTAAACTCTGAATAAATTAAGCAGTCCCATTTGGAATTCTGACCCTTCTCTGTTCTGAGAGCTAAGCACTGACGACAATGAATTCAGTAAACCAACAAAATGAATATTGTGTACTATGTTAATTAAAAGTATCTGCTTCATAATGGTTATTATTTTGAAAAGTCAGACCCAAAAAACCCCTTACTTTTCCTAGACTTTTTCAGACTCTGACTTTAGTGAAGTCTATCAATGGAAAGAGTTCCAGTGATAGGGACTGCAGCTGGAAATTTCTCTGATCTTGTGGTGCGGCTGTGGGATATGGAGGTTTTAGTCAAGACAGCTTTTCTAGCTCATCTTGTGGAAGAGGTAGGTTTTGTGATATTAGACTCTTCAAGCTAGCTTAGCAATGTGAAGGGGATATATTTTGCTAAGATACAGGCTTTCATAGAAGCTGAAAGTGTGTTAGCAGGTGTAAAAGGTAGCTGGTAAGTGGAGTGGGAGTTCAGGACAAAGGAAAGGGTGTAGGGTAGGACAGGTAATATAGGGATGAGATAGTGAATTAAATTGATTGCTGAATCCTGCCTCAAGTATGCCAGTTTGACTCTTCACAGGACATTGTCTATGTAATTGCAAACTGCTTTCTAAAAGAAATAGATTAGAAATAGTGCTTTTGAGCTTGTGTCAATGCAATTTCATATGGTAAGAGAAATATGAAAAGCTTCTATGGAAACAGTATTTTATTCAAGAAATCATTTCAAATACTTTTAAAAGTGCAGTGTAATTTCTCAAACCTTACTTGTTCTGCACAGCTTCCAGAGTAGCTGCTGCTAGGTGCTTATTGTGCAGAAGAATATATGATTTATAGAAGATACATTTATAAACATCTTATTTATGTGTGTGGTCATGCTGACTTGTCAGTGATGCATCTTGAGGTATATGCATATATTTGGATGCCACATCCTCTTGTTGTTAGTCTCGAAGTCGTGTCCAACCCATTGCGACCCCATGGACAACATTCCTCCAGGCCTTCCTGTCCTCCGCCATCCCCCGGAGTCCACTTAAGCTCACACCAACTGCTTCAGTGACTCCATCTAGCCACCTCATCCTCTGCCATCCCCTTCTCCTTTTGCCATCTATTGTTCCCAGCATTAGACTCTTCTCCAGGGAGTCCTTCCTTCTCATTAGGTTGCCAAAGTATTTGAGTTTCATCTTCAGGATCTGGCCTTCTAAAGAGCAGTCAGGGCTGATCTCCTCTAGGACTGACCGGTTTGATCGCCTTGCGGTCCAAGGGACTTGCAGGAGTCTCCTCCAGCACCACAGTTCAGAGGCCTCAGTCCTTCGGCACTCAGCCTTCCTTATGGTCCAGCTTTCACAGCCATACATTGCAACTGGGAAAACTATAGCCTTGACTATACACACTTTTGTTGGCAGGGTGATGTCTCTGCTTTTTAGTATGCTGTCTAGATTTGCCATAGCTTTCCTCCCCAGGAGCAAGCGTCTTTTAATTTCTTGGCTGCAGTCCCCATCTGCGGTGATCTTGGGAGCCTAGGAAAATAAAATCTATCACTACCTCCATTTCTTCCCCATCTATTTGCCAGGAAGTGAGTGGACCGGATGCCATGATCTTAGTTTTCTTAATGTTGAGTTTCAAGCCAATTTTTGCGCTCTCCTCCTTCACCCACATCAAGAGGCTCTTTAGTTCCTCTTCGCTTTCTGCCATGAGAGTGGTATCATCTGCATATCTGAGGTTGTTGATATTTCTCCCAGCAATCTTAATTCCAACTGGTGATTCATCCTATGCAAGACCAAATGAGGTCTCTAGTGCTTCATCTGATAAAATTTTGTGGGCTCAGATTCAGATTTTGAGGTCCAGTGATGTGGATGAGGCATTTGAAGCATCTGCTTGCAATATTGATCCTCTTCCATCATGGTTAATTTGAATTAGCTGGAGGGAACAGAGCAGGTGGATCCAGTATGTGGTAAAGTCTTCGCTCTGTGGTGGGGTAGTGTGCTTGATAATTTCAAGGAGGCTGTGGTATGGCTGCTTCCCAAGATACCCCCACTGAAGCTTGAGATTGTTAACACCTACTGCCTTGTTGCTCAAGGAAGATGCTTGAGAAGGTGGTGGCTGTGCAGCTTCAGAGGCTCTAGGAAGAAATGGATTACTTAGAACTTTCCTAGTTCAAACCTGCTTTGTGGACTGAATCACTCTGAATCATCTTAGTCACTCTGACAAATTAACTTTATCAGAAGAGGGACCAAGAAAGGGCAAGCCTGCTGTTTCTCTTTCATCTTGGTGACATTTGATACTGTTGACCCATGGTTTTACCAGTTCTGTCAGTTGTGTGAAAAGAGAGCCTGCCTCTTGGACATTACAGTCTGTTCAGACAGAGTTGTCTGGTTCTGAGAAGGACATGGTAGAACAATGGGGGGACTGGTTGACAATTTCAAGTTTACCTAGTAAAGTCTCTCCAACAGAACATGAGAATCTGCTCACTTCGGAAAGGAAGGAAAGCTTTTCAGGGTTGGAGTGGGAGCAGATGAAGGAAGTGCTCCTTGGTCTGGACAGGAAATGGCAGGTTAAATGAGCAGACCAATTATGATGTCTCCAGAGTTCCCACTGTCCCGCCCACAAGCAGCTGGAGGTTCTCTGAGAGTAGATCCAGACGCTTTACTGAAAGGGAGGGACGGGGGGGGGGGAGTTTGAATTCAACTTTTTACATGGGCAGATGCTCCTTCCACATCTCAAAGAGATTGCTAATGTGCTATAACCACTTAAGTGTTGATGAAAGCTCTGCGCTTCTAAGGTTTGGGTCTACTGAAAGGGAAGGAAAAAGGGAAGTGACCTGAGCATGGCAGGTTGGGAGTCAGGTGACAGCGTACTACAATGGTTTCATTCCTGTCTGTGGGGTAATATCCCCTGGATAGCACTGGAAGACCATAGTCCCACTGCACTTCAGCTGTGGGGTCCTGCAGGATTCTGTTCTGTCTGCAATGTTTTCAGTATCTATAAAGATGTATAGAGCCTTTGGAAGATTTGGAGTAAAGTGCCATCAGTATGCTGCTGATACCCAGTTCTGTTTTTCTGAGTCAGGAGGGGGCTGTGCAGGCTCTGGACCAATTTCTGGATGCAGTGGTGGATTGGAGGAGGACCAATACACTGAATCATGTCAAGATGAAGCCACTGTGGAAAGATGTTTTCTGTATCTGGAAATTAAGGAAGTTGCCTGTACAGAATTGGGTTACATTCCCTCTGAGTGTACAAGCGTGTTGCTTTGGGATGTTCCTCCATCCATCACTGTCATTGAAGACAAAAGTGACCTCCATGATGAATGCATTTTTTGAATTTCCGTTAGTTTGCCAGCTATTGCTCTTCCTAGTCTGGCCATGCTGACCCATCCATTGGTAACCTTGGTACCACCCATTGGTAAGTTGAACTATTGCCATGTGCTTCATTTAGGATTGCCTTTGAGGCTGGCCTAGAATCTGAAACACATGCAAAATGCTGTGCTTAGGCTGCTGAATTTGTCATGTTACACCGGTTCTGAAAGAGTTGCACTGGCACCCAATAAATTACCAGGGCAAGTTCAGTGGAAAACCAGCAGGGATGGTCTTTTGACAACACTGCATTTACCTGGGGTTCAATACATGGCATCTTGAAAAAAGTGTTCTTTATATAGGCAACTGAACTGTGAAGCTCCCCATTCATTTAAGGGTGGCATCGAGTAAAAGTTTTCAATGCCAGATGGAGACTGGCCTTTATCTGGACTTTTGCTGGCATCAGTTTTGCTCTATCTTATAAACTTACCTTTCTGTTCTCCACTGGTTTTTGTTTGTTTGTTTTATGGGTCAATACTGTGTAACTGTATTGTGTCTTACTGGTTTCATATCCCACTTCAGGTTTATTTTATAATGAAAAACAAAATAAAATGATTTTCTTAGCTATAAATATAGGCAATCTATCTAAAGTTGCTTCACCATTATAACTTGAAGCTTTTTTAATCAGAAGGACAACATTGCATGCTAAACAATTATTAAAGGTCTATGGTTGAGCTTTAAATACTTCTGGAAAAGGGGGAAACCCTTTAATTAAAAAAATGGGGCAGAAGTTACAGAATCATCTTTTTTATTTCTGAACCTTTAGCTAAATTAAGGTATCCACCTGTTCTAATCTTGAAGCAAACCCCTCTGCTCTGCCCTCTCAGAGCATCTTTCCTATCTCCATTTCCTTCCACTGTAGCTCTATCTCACACCCTCCTCCAGTTTGCTTACCTCTTTTCACTCTTTTTATTCTTTTGTATAATTGGTTCATGTAACCAAAAATGGTTGGTCCCAACTAAAATATCTGTTTGCTGCATAATATAATTATAAATTAACATAGAAAAAAGAGAAGTTCAAATATTTTGTAAAATTGCTTTTTATTAACTAACATGTGTCTTTCTCTTCAGATATAACTCCCAGCAATCAGGATTTTCAAAGGTGCCATCACCTTCAGAAAGTGCTCCAGCATCAGTAGCAGAACCATCATGGTCTTCCAATTACCCTGCTGATAATTATGAAATGGCAGACTTGAACTCCAAATATGAACCAGTCCCATTTAGTTCTTCTATGAATGAATCTAGTCCTACTGGAATAACAGATAGTGTGCCTCAAGGTAGAGTTTGTCTTGAACTTTATAATACAGTGAATGATTCCCCCTGCCCCCAGTGAATAGGGAATGTATACATTAATTTAGCATTCATCAGGCTCGGAGGTGTGAATATCTCAGCTTTAAGACAGTATTAGCATAAAGTTGTATGTTACACTCAGAGATCTGCATTCCCAAGTACGTATTTCTGCCCATTAATGTGAATGCACATGGGGGGGCAGATTTTCAGGGAGGATTGCCAAGCACAAGGTGGACACTTAATTTTTTTTATTCCTGCCTATTCTTTGCAGTCGATTCCTTTGCCTTGTCTGTTCTCCTGGCAAGTGGGCTTCTTCTAGCCTTGGAAACTAGCCAGGAATTCGTGTGTGGGAGGATTTATACACACCCTGCTGCCTTCTAGTTTCCACCTTGAATGCCCTCCCACTGCTGTGTTACATGTGGAAGATGGAGTTCTGTTCCCTTGTGATATATATCTCCTAAACAACTGTATTGGCATATATATTTGGAGTATTAAGAGCATTTTTGTTCATCTGTTGTGTTTAATGGCACACATTGCCATTATGTTGTCAAAAGTATTGCACTGTTGATATTACAAACTGTAGTATCACTTTGAAATGCCTTCTAATGACTAGTACTTAATCATACTCAACCTTGAGTAAGTAATCAGCAGCATTACATCTTCATTGGCTCTAGTGTAATTAAAAAATACTCCCCAAGTATTCCTTTAAAGGGTCCTGCCTTCTAGATTATAGCATACTGATATGTGGAGAAACTGTATCATTGTATCTTATATCCAGTCTGTTATATGTTCTAATAAGGACTCAGAATTGAACTGAAGAGCAGTTTCTTACATGTTAATTCAATCCTCCCCATCTGTACTAGCCAGCATGGCCAGTGACCAGTAATTATGGGAGTTGTAAACCACATTATCTTGAGGGAACCAGGTTGGGTTTACTTGTCATTGGCCATTTCAACTATGTGACATCCATTCTTTTATCTGAATTTACAAATCTTACATCAGAAGGTTTATGTGCATGTCATTTGTGCAGACACTCTCAGAGACAAATGATATATTCATCTGAGCACTGTAATGTTGGACAAACATTCATAGAACTTGCAGTGGCAGTTTTTGTGAAGTAGGCATGCTCATGATGCAGAAATCTTGATCATGGACTTGGGTTTCCCTTATGTCAAGTTATGCAATGTCAGTATGGCCCCAGGCATCATTTCTGCACAGTATGTGTGGGTACCTGTGGCCCTCCAGATGTGATTGCATTCCAGCTCTGCTGACTCCTAGCTAGCATAGCTAGTGGCCAAGCGTAATGAGAACTATAGTCCAACATCTTGTGGGAAGTGCAAAGGTTCTTAGCCTTAGTTGTTTACAAATGAATAATAAAGCCAGACTCCAGTTACTTTTGTTTACTAACCTGTCCCAGTCACAAGTACTGTGAAAACTGTACTGTTTGACAATATCTAACTTATGGTTAATTTCACTGTCTCGACCATTGACAATTATATGGAAGCTGATTTGACATATGCATTTGGTGTTGAAATTTATGGAGTATATATAATGCTGCTAAAATCTTAAGCAGCTATACTAGTTGAGTCTGCAGGAACTGTACCTTCAATCACTTTTCTTCTACAAAAGTCAGAGCCACTTGTTGCAGTCAGGACAGTTGCTCAAAAATGAACGTAGTATCTTTGAAAAGACATATTCCATCCATGTATAGTGTTATCTGTTCATTTATTTTGAGTGTGACCTCTTTTGTTGTCTTAAGAATCTGAACCATCTTCTGAAGAAGTTCCAAAAAAGAGAGGAATCACATATGAAGAACTCAGGCGCAGAAATAGAGAGATGTATGAGGCAGGAATAATGCAAAAGTCAGGCCTTCCATCAAAGTCATCTCAAGGTAAATTATTAAATAGTTGAAGTATTTGGTAATGTTGTCTGCAGTAGTTATGTCAAGGGCAGAGTTTCATGTCTTTCTACTAGAGACTCAGTACTGTTAAGGACTACACAATTTGTGAAGCAGAAGTTTTCGTCATTTTTATGTACATTGTTTCTCTTTGTTGGGAGGAACTGTATTAAAACTTGTTGTAGAATAGTATTATATATTTTTATTAGAACTCTGTGTGGCAAATATTGAACCTATTTTGATTTCAAGAATATTATCAAGGGTGGATTGATTCAAATCAAGGTGGCTTAAGTAAATGATTTTAATAATGATTTAATCAGCAAAAAGAAAAAGTCTGATTTAAATCAAGCTTCTCATTGTTGTTACAAATGTGTCTTAAGAGTGATACAAATCTGTCCTGTAACCATATTGACTTACAACTAAATAATGTATTATTTACACTTTTTCATTCTGACTATTGGGCATTGTATCTATTTATATATACTGTATATACTTGGCATGCATTCCTTTTTTGCCTGTTAGAAGAAATGCCTTTAAATGGGTCTTCCTTATGGCCTCCAGCCATGTCAGATTGTGAGATTAAGTATGGGAATCCAGGACCATGAATTCTGGTCTTCTGTTTGTTCAGTGTTGCTTCTTTCTGCTTCATTCTATCTTGGCCAAGCTCCACTAAAAAAAGAGCAAGCAGAATTAAACATCCATGACTGATAGGATGAAGCAAGGTCTGATATTTACTGGGCATAGTAGAGCAGTTAATTTTCATCAAGTGAAAATGAAATGCCTGTTTTTGGTAAACAAGGTGTAAAGATCCATATCTGAAAAAACTTACGAACTGATTTTTCATATATTTAGCCTTATTAAGTAATCATAGGCTTTCTTCCATGACAGATAAAGAGAACGTACAGATAATACACCTATGCAGGTGTCTACATGAGAGCTAAAAGTGGGGAGGGAATGTGGATATACATGCAACCCTTGTCTCAATGACCCCAGTTATTCCATGTCCATCCATGTTGAGGGGAAAGGTCTGAAGCAGGGGTTCTACTCATGCCCACGTGAATATGAAGTAGAACCCTACCTCCTTTCGTATCTCCATGCTCATCACAGGATGTTTAAGGACTTGGGGGGGATGAAGACTTTGGGGGTGGGGCTTTTATGCACTGTTAGTCCTCACATGAGGAAACTGAATGCCTGCATAGTATATATAGTACACTGTGCTATATATAAATTGGACGAAAATAAGATAGTGATTGCTGATATACAGGATAAACAGATTTCATTAAAACTCTGCAAGAAATTGTTGGCCAAATTAGGAGGAAATCATAAATTGTATTCTACCAAGAGGTGTTCATTCCATAGATTGCTGTTCTTTCAAGGACAAATTAATAGATGCACGTTTATCATTGGATGATGGCAACATCAGTGTCAAGTATATATTAAACAGTACACAAAGGTTAAAAATGAAAATGAAAGTTTTCACCTCAAGATGCTGGATCAAATGTGATGCTTTTCAATAGAGAGAGCTCACAGGTTCATTTGAGAGTTAAGAAGTAATATTAGGTAATAGACATTTGTGTGCATCAGCTTCAGATTGTCAGTGTGAATGATAGACAAAAGCACTGATCAGCTCTGTAAAGTATACAAAGTCAGGATAACTTTATCCAGTCAGGCTGAATGCTAGGTAAACTGGACACATTGTCTAGTTCAAATAATAGAATTCACTTCTATGAGAAGAGATGGCTAATTTGGATGGTGTTAAAAAGGGATTAGACAGATTCATGGAGAAAGCCATGTATACCTACTAGTAAAGATGACCATATATTATTTACAGTATTGGAGGAAGAATGCCTCTAAGTACTGGGGAAAATATGTGAATGTGTATTAGTGGCCCTATGTGTGGTTTGTGGATGTTCCATAGGCATTTGTTTGGCCACTATGTTGAATTAAAGTCTTTGGTCTGATCCAGCATAGCTTTTCTTATGACTTGCAAATACTATAATAGTGGGTTTGACACCGTTTCATAAATTATAATGCTGAGTTGAAAAATCAGTGTGGCATTCAGTCAAAATGCTATAAAACTACTTACTGGAAAGATCAAATCCACAAGTGGAAAAGAGGGAGGCTATGTAGATACCATTACCTTTGTGTTGTTCCTATGGTGAATCTAAGCAATTGTAGTAGGAGTGCGAATGTGACAGATTAGATCAGGGTGTATTAAGAAAACCATGTATTAAAGACATGGCAGTTAGCAATTGTTATCCCTTACCTGCACTTTGTATGCTATTGGTTAAAATATTTTAGGAAGGCTTGAAACAAATTGCACAATTTAAAAAGATGAGAAAATATATGGCACACAAGAGAAGAAGATGAATTTAACAATGTTTTGTTCACCCCCTCCCCCCAAAAACGAAATACTACAGAGGGAGAGGCAATAGCAGTAATAATTCTTTGAAGGAGTGTTGAGACAGGATGAATATAATAACTGTTCACTTGGACAATGAAGGAAGAAAAAACAAGAGGTTTTTTTCAATAGGAAAAGAATTAGGGGATGGATAAAAAGTTGGGCACTGAGATTTTACACTAAGGAAAAAATTAAGTATTCCATTCTAGGAGAAAATTAATGGAGCAACAGTTGATTTCTTCTGTGAGGTTGAACTGAATGTACCCACGGGTCCTTAAGAAATCAATGCAGGGTTACAGCTAGATTTTAAACAGAGGTCTTTTTTTCTTTCTCTTTTTGCTGCTGCTGCTGTTTATTAGCTTATGAATGCAGAATATAATACTAAAGGATGTAGCATTGTTGTTTTATTTATTTATCATTCTGCTGGAATGAAACTGCACTTGGCAGTAACCTTGAGACTTTGTTTTTCTGATAAGAAACAATACAGTACAGGAAAATAAAGAATGCAAGTAGGCTAGGAAGTGAAATTACTTTTCATTTTTTAGAATATACCATCTGAGAACAAGAGCAAAGGCTACTGCCAAGTCGGTTTCTAAATATCCAGGCATTTTATTTTCACACAGGAAAAAAAATCTAGGAAATAACACAAAAATATGAAATAACCCACTATTGATAGTATTCTGGAAGATAGGAGTTTTTGGTTTGCTGTTGAGGAAGGACAGTTAATAGTGAATGAATGGAATGGCATTCATTCCGTATTCCCACCCAAGTTGGCTTGTGTTTTCATCTTTACATTAGTCCTCTGTCAAATTATTTATTTTGTATCTGTACCATCCAATAACCAAAAGGCTCTCTTAGGACAGCCATGCAAGATACATTCTGTGATCCAAATACAGCAGCATCTTGAGATTCGAGTGAAACAGTTGTATGTTGACTGTTCCCCATATGTACTTTGCGCTGAGCAGAATGCCATTAAGGTACCACAAAGATGAGAAATACAAATTTACAGTGGTTATCCAAACAGCTTACTGGTGCATTCAGTCTAGAGATGGTAGGTATAGCAGTGGTAACTTACACTATTATAACTATCTGAGTTGGCTCAAGCCCCACACTTCGTCATGTGCTAATTTACTTGCAAGGTTTGCCCTGTTGTTAACATGTTGGTTTGTTGCTTCATAGGACTAGTCTTAAGTAACTGCACTGTAGATTGCCAAGTTTTTTTCTTCTACTTTTTATAGGAAAAGTCAACAAGTATGGAGATGCTTGGGAAGAGTGAAAGATCGTTATCTTCTGAAGACCTCTCTTCAATCAAATAAGTTATATAAGTGTTGGTCAGCTATCTGAATGTTCAGCTGTACTCTGTGGAATACACATGTATTGCAATAAAAGCATTTAAGCCTTCATTTTTCATTTGGCACAGTGTGGGTATGGATTACTAGCCTAAAAATGTATTATTTTCAGGAACTAAGTAATGAAAGGTATCACTGTTTTTAAGCACCCATCATTATATTTTTAGGTCAAAATCATGATTAAATAAAAAGGAAACATGACTAACAAGGTTTCACAGAAAGGAAGTAGTATTTGCCTGCATAATTGTCTAAGCAAGATGTGGTGCAGCTGAAAGGGAAGAGATCCAAAGTTGCTTACGATTACCTCCCTTTACTTTAGAAAGCAGTTTAGTGAAACATAAAGCAGAAAAGAAGGGAAGAAATGCTGATTTACTTATTCAGATTGTTTATAAACATAGAGCTGTGACATTATGAAAGAAAATTTCTATATAGCCTGAAGTGCCTGATCCTGCATAATATCAGAAGGTAAGCAGGGCTGGGCCTGGTTGTAATCTGGATGGGCGACTTAATATTTGACTTAATATTGTGAACCACCCAGGGAGCTTTGGCTATGGGCAGTATAGAATAAATGAATAGAATGTTAATCATTAATCATGCAGTTTAGCCTAATAGGTGCAATCCTATGCATGTCTAGATCGAACAAAAAGACCTACAAATTCACAGTATGCTCCAACATGCTGGTTGGGGAATGCTGCGAATTGTAGGCCTTTCTGTATAAAGAATTGATATGCTGCTTATTGTTTCAGATGGGTTAAATCAATATCTCTGAAGCAAGAATATTTTTTCCTCAGATGATGATACAAACCCAGCAGGTATCATTGTAGAAACATTACTCCTGTGAAATGTGACAGAAAGGAGAATGCTTAAGATGGTGTGTTTTTATACACATTGTTTCATTTTATAATCTTCGTAAAAAAAAAAAAAAATCTGTTACCCAGTTAATCAGACATGTAGTCTCAGTAAAACCTAGGAAGAGGACACATTAAGAACATGAAAACTTAAGTGTTCCTTGCTCCCTATTTATGATCTATATAAAATCAAAATTGTTAGTTTTCAGAAAGAGAAACAAACTTAACACTTGTGAGGGCTATGCATGCATAAGCTTTAATCTTTAATTGAAGAGCTACAGGTAGACAGGTTCTGAAGAACCTCTGTTTAAGGTTTCAGAGGGCTACTACCAGTTAGAATTTGATTGAAAAGCACCAAAGAGCTTATTATCATGACTTGGTATGTCAATTTCCGATGTTCCTCTGAGTATATTCCTTAGAGGCTGATGCATATACTTCCATGGATGTAAATTAGAATATTAAGTTTTACATTAAAAGTTTCAGTGGCATATTTTATGCTACCAACCATCCTGTGTTCTGTCAGGAGCAAACTCCTCAGTGCAGCTTAAATAGTCTCTTTAAGTTCACACTCTTCTCTATTATACATTTATATGAAATTAATGTAATTATTTGGTTTCTTCCATGACTGAGAGATTCTAAACTTTGTTCATCTTTTGCATTTTTCTCGTACCTAGTTTAGTCTTGTGGTCATCTCCAGTTAGAGATCGATATAAGTTATTTTGTATTTGAACAAAACAGACAAATTTTGTGAGGATAGAGGTTAACTCTTATAGTGGACTGGATAATTGGTTTACTTTATTGAAAAACGATGGCCTTTTCAAACCTGATCTTTTGTCCATAAATACTTAAAATGTGCCAAAGTTCACTTTGGATAATATCAGATCCAGAATTTTGAAAGGAAGAGGTTTGAAACATACTTCTTGATGTCAGATGTACAACTGACTTGTTTTTTTAAAGGTAGTGATGACCTTTGGGGGAAACCAACGCAAAAACATCCACTTGCTAGGTTTGATATAGGAACAGTCACACCACCAGCAACAACTGCTGTAGGTCACCATACCACCTTCCCTGTAAGTATTATCTAGCAACCATGACCAGATAGCATGAGACATTTTGGTATGCGTGTAAATCATCTTCTTACGCAGGCAACTAGAAATTCTGCAATTCCTGTATGTTCTGGGGTATGGACAATTAAGACTGCTGAAAGAATAATGGAAAATGTCCATTTTCAAGGCTTCACAGGCTGATGCTGCTAGTGTAGCTGTTCTTATTAAACTTTTCCTAGGAAATTATGCTGACTGCTAACTACTTAAGAAAAAAATAGCCAGAATCTCCAGAGTGCCTGCATGGCTTGCTGCCATTCTTAATTTTTATTTTCAGATTTTATGGTGGGAGGCTGCTATACTGCAAAGTGAAATGCTACTTTACTTTTCTTATAGTGGCACCAGTTTGCCTTCTGCAAAATGCCAGCCACTTTATGGACAGGTAATCTCCCCCAGCAATTCTTTTGAGTATACCAAGGACATACTCTCAAAATTCCAAATGATCCACTGATGCAAAAAGATTTGGCAGCCCTGGAATACAGAATAAACTTATGCTGGGGCTTCATATTCTGTTTGACAGAATAAAATGAAAATATGAAACAATCATTTATAAAGGGCATGCTTTAAATGGACATCATTTATTTAATTTTCTAGATTATTAGTATTTCGACCAATATTTTGCTAGTTCCTATATTCTGTGGATAGTCAAGACTGTTTCTCCTGTTAAACATTTGTTCAGTAACTTAAAGTGCTGTCTAAGTTAAGTAGATTTGAAGTACCACTTGTACATACAGCTTTCTCTTAAGTGTGGATATCTATTATTTGGATGTAGCTCCCCTAGATTATGATCAGGTAGGACCAATTTCTAAAAGGCTGCTGCTTTCTCCGTTGTCTAATGGATTGGATTCTTAATGGGCTACCATTCTATCAACATCTTAAAAATATGAGTATCCTCACCAATCATATGGAAAAACATTCTTATTAGCAGTCAAACACTAAAAATATTTATATTCATTGATGATACACTGAAGGGCCATTTATCCATTGCAGTATGTGTTGTATAACTACTGCACACATAGGTACCTTCACTACTTAATAAATGTTTGGAATGGCAATTTGAAAAACCATACCTGAAACCATGAAAGCAGTGCTGTTGACACTGCTTCCACCTACAGTTCAGTGCATCATAATCTATAGCAATAACAAAGCATCACAAATAAACTTTTATTTAAAATATCAAGTAAAACAAAACAAATGAAAGGAGATTTTGTAGAATGGTGAGGTTATTTTGCAGTTTTAAGTACCATGATAAAATGGTCACCCCCGTATTATCTGAAACAGAAAAGTCAGTTTGTTTAAAGGGAAAAAAAAGTGGGGACACACAAACTAAAAGTACTGTAAACCCTTTGATTATGAGGTGAAAACAGCCTTAGTTTTAGGGATATATTTTTCCTCTACTGTTAGAGCAATAGTTTTGAAATGTGAAAATGTAATTGCAAGCTATTTCTCAAATATTGGTGTATAAACATGACCCACTAGGAAATCTGAATTTGGCTATCCTCTGACACACACAAATTATGAGAATGCCCAACTGATTGATGTAAATGTAAAGTTTATAGTTTATACCAATTATCTATTGGGAAGGTGTTAAAGAACTGAGATATTTCAAATGTGATTAAAAATTGTACTGCAACTTTGATCCATACCTGTTTTATGAAACAGATGTTTCTGATTTCTCTAATGAGCTTGTTTCAAACTTAGCTTTGCATTCTTTGCAAATGTGAGGACATGACCTAAAAACATAGGAAGCAAGTCAGGAAAAAAGGTCATTGTTTTACCATAGACTATTCCAGAGAAGTGTATCTGAAAATACAAGTTGAATATGTATGTGTCTTTAGAGAACCTCATGCTGATACAAAACTAAACACACACCGGTTTTGACTGAAGTTTTCAAATATATTTCAAGTCCTAACTGTTTCTTAATAGGCATTCGTATTTTTTATCCTCCTCCTGCCTTATTCACAAAAGGTTTAAGTTAATATTTACAATCTGTAGCTAGCCTAATGTGAAATCTGAAAAAATAGCAACTAAGATCATATTCAGATGAAATGCTAAAACATGGTTTAAGCGCTACAAGTACAAACAGGCATGGAACTTGGGATAATACACTCCCCATATGCATTGACAAAACACAGCTTCCTGGCTAATCAGGATCAAACATTGGCTTGGACAAAAAACAGGTTTCCAAGTTCAAGTAAAATGACATATCATTTCTTACTAAGGCAAGAATGGAAATTTAAAAGTATTGTGTGAAGAAAAGAGGGAGTATGCAAACCAAGGCTTATGCCTGCTTATAATGCTCAACCACTGTTTATTGAGAGTCTATCTAGCCCATGAGTCCTCAACTATGGCCCGGGGGCTGGATCTGGCCTGCCATGGCCATTTATCCGGCCCGCCTCAGAGGCTTTCAATGCACCGTGCACACGCATGCCTACGCGGGAGGCGGCGGCTTGCTTGGGAGGAGATCGTTTTGGACTTGCTGGAGAGAAAATGATCTCAAAGCAAGCAAGCCGCTGCATCGCGTGCCCACCCCGCCTCCCCTCACCACGTGCGCCTCCCCCACCTGCACCACCTTTACGGCCCGCGCTCAGCACCAGCACCTTTCAACTGACCCCCTGGTGAAAAAGTTTGAGGATCCCTGATCTAGCACTTTCCTCCTGTCTAGCAGAAGTTCAAATGCTGCCACTTATGAAACTAACCGATTTCCCTTCCAGATTAAATTATCTGAATCTTGGCACTGAAAGTATCAAAAAGGCAAGGAAGTTTGATTCCCTTTAAAGTTTTTTGTTTTTATCAGACAACTCATCACTTTAAGAAAGCCAAGTGTTACATATATTCTCAACCCACCTTTTCTGTCCTGGGCCAAACATTTGAAAACCAGCATTTGTAAACTTTTTCTGACATGTTCCTATGTATGACATTGTTCCAACAGCATAACCTAGAACACCGGCAACTGCAAAGAGATAATGAATTATCTTGCAATGTCAAATTTAAGATGTTCATTGGTAGTCAACTTGAAAGGGCATTCCTCAGATCACTTCCCTCCCACACTGACCTGTTAAGAGAGAAGCCCATGAATTGCTGTGGTTTTATTCTAATGATGTGGTATGTGGTTTAGAGGGTGGCTATTATTTATATCTTGTCTTTTTCCCTCTTGCAAGGAACCCAGGGCAGCTTACATGGGTCCTCCACAACAACCCTGAGGTATGTTAGGCTGAATCAGTAAGTGGCCCACTGTGAGCTTTATGGCTGAATGAAGACTAGAACCTGAATATCCCAAGTGTCAATCCAAACTCTAATTGCTACACCAGGTCAGCCCAGAATAAGACCTTTCTCATCCATGACTTGGTTTATTGCCAAGTTTATTGTTCCTTGAATACGGCAGTAGGTTATGCACACACAGCTGCCTAGGAGGATCTCAGCATCTTCACCCATAACAATGGGTTGTTACTCTACTGAAAGACCGAAAAGGTAGAGCAAGTTTAATTGTGGAAGGGAACAAGTCATATGAGTTTGACAAGTACTACTTCCTAAGAATGCAATCCTGTGGGATGTTCTTCCAGCTTTCTAGTTCCAAAGAATCTCAGCCTCCACTCCACCTATGATAGAGATTCATGATTATACAGTATACAAAGTCAGAAAACACCAACAGAATATTGTTTGGCAATAACACAAGTAGAAGAAAACAAAGATCTATAGGAAACCTGGCCAGAAATCTGATAGCCACCGACCAAGACACAGATTCCCTCAGACACAGCAACAGCATGATTTCAATCTTGATGTCTATAAAACTGCTTTAATTTAATACTATCATAAAACCAGAAGTAAGATTCCACACATGCCTTGAGATAGTGTAAGAATATACTAGCATTTATCACACTAATTAAATCTTGAACAATTCTCCTTTTTTGCCTTAGTTTTACCTAGTTTTTAGATTTACCTGCTAATTTTGGGAGGGATCCAAATTTGGGGTGTGGTTTGAAAACACCTAGAATGAAACATGTTATTAGAAAAAGATTTGAATTCCATCAGTTACATGTCACCTAAAATAGAATATATTTACTAGATGCCATTTTGCAAGTGTAGTGACATGTGGCTTCTTGGTTGGTTTGGTGCTGTGGTAAAGCTGGGGAACTGTGAGCCCAGAGTAAAAATCCAGCCCTAAACGCACAGTGAATCTGGCAAACATGCAGGTACACTCATGGGGGGGGGGGGGGGGCATGACTGAAGATAACAGAGAGGAGCAGCAAGTGGCAAATTTGAATTTGGTTCTGCCTAATATGTGAAATGGTTTGATGATTTCACATATTTAGACCTCCAGATTTCTAAATTTCATCTAGGCTGAGCTTTTCTTTTTCAAAATTTATCAAACTGTAGCAGTTAATAACTGCTGGTTCTAGAAAGTTTTTTGGAAATATTTAGTTAAAAACATCAATTTACCATTAGCGAGTAGTCCTTGAGTAACAAGCATACTTCCCAAAGAGAGAGGAAGAGCTGCAAACAAATAATGGCACAATTATAACATCTGCATGAATCCTAATGCAACCGGACCCTTAAAGGTAGTATTAAAGAATAGTCTGAAGTTGATTTAATATCCTGGCATATTCTGAAGCTGATAACTGGACTTTCCTGGTTTGGACAAAAACATAAACTATGGTTAATTAGAGGATTCTGGTTTGATTGCTAACACTGAGAAAGGAGCAGAAAAGAGCTGTATGAATGAATAAAGGCTAGTAAATATCTCAGCTTATGGCTATTGAAACATGGCATCCAGACATAACAATTAACCATGGTTTATCATTATGAGAATAAGCCTAGACAAAGAACAGGCTTGTGTGTTCTTTCACTCCCTTCTTTCAGTGTTGCATCAAGGTAATTAAACATTAAGTCCCATTTTTGACTAACTGCAGATCAGTTACTTCCAAATTGGAACAAGAGGCAGTCACCTTTAACAAGAGTATATTGAAAAAAGCCAAGTTCAAATCTTGATTTATGAAACTGCCTTGAACCACTGCTTACTGAATTGTAGTCAACATTTTCAGGACCAGAGATATGGCTAAAATGTGGTTAATCAAAAATGAAAGCAAATGCTTCTCATCTCCTCACAGGAGGAGGAGAAGAAAGTTTGTGAGCCAAATGTTCATTGCTTAAACTCTTACTCTTAACCATTCTCTATCATTACCTCTGAATGCGGCCATTATAAAGGGTGGATTTCACCCCTACTCAGGGTTACATAAATCTTATTGGTAGATAAGCCAATAAGCTTTGGACACATAAGCTGTGAAATAGAAGGATAATCAGTGCAGGCCTAACAAAAGTAACTCTTAAGTGAACTACTACACAATGAAGCAAATGTTACAAAGACAAGAACCACCACCACCACCACAATCACAACTCTAGTTATATTAAGAACAAAGCAATGTACCTCTGTACCAAAAACTTTCCTCTTTGCATTGCTGACGGAGCTTTACAATTTCTTCATTATTAAGATTTGAAATTGGACAATGCATCAGGCTCTGAAAATAAAAACAAGGATAGATGTATAAGAACAACATGGTAAATTATAAAAGAGAACGAATATTCCCCTCTTTATCCCTGCCCTCAAGTATAGTGCATCTATAATCTATTATTTATTTTACTTTGTAGACTTGTCTGAAACCTTGTAAAGGAATATGCAAAATTTAAAAATGCATAAAAAACATTACAATTAAAATATATAGGGGAGGAAAATACTTCTCCCTTGTGATAATACACAAGATCATTAAAAATTATGCATGTACTTAGTAAATCCGTGGAAGTAAATTATGCAGAATGTTATTTGCAATGTCCAAATAAAATTACAATACATCATTAAGCTTTAAAGGGTAGATTACAAGCTACAGAAACTGTACATTTGCCCTTTAATCTGTAATTTACAGCTGATGTGTGATAAGGAGTGGAGAACATGGAAAGGCAGACTTTTCCCCAACATTTAACATCATATCCTGTGATGATATAACTGGGCAAAGGTTTAGGACAGACAAGTGAAAGTAGGACAGACAAGTGAAAGTACTTCACACAACATATAGTTAAGTTATGGAATGCACTGCCATGGGAAATAGCAATGGCCACAAATCTAGGAAACAAGTCATGGAAGTAGAGAATATCTGAAGCTCTAGCATTGCTGGCTATGTGCTACCTCCTTCACCAGAGGTGACATGCCTACATGCACCAGTTGATGAGAGGCTTGGGCAGGTGAAAGTCTTGTGCCCATCCTGCTTGAGTGATTCTGTGAGCAGCTGGTTGCTACCATGTGCACAGAATACTGGACTACGTGGGCCTTTGGTCTGATCCACTATGGCTTTTCTATGAGTGCTGCTAGTGGGATTCTCTACATTAGGCTTTTAATCCATTTAAATCCAATGGAAATGTCTGCTTCTATTTTCTTTGCAAGAGTATTAGAGAATTCTTTATACTTTCTCCACCGCAAAGTTTGCCTTCCAATATGTTCCACTGCACAACCACAAGGTGATGCTATGGTAAAGTGGCATTGCAAGAATATATTAGCATTTTATAGCATTTAATGGCATGCTATCCATTTAATAGCTCATTATGCCTATTCTTAAGAAGCCATGAAAATGTTCAGAAAGCAAGAGAGAGGCCCTAATGGAAGTTGCTGACATCCATCTAAAGCACCCACAGGCTACTGAGGGCAATGAAACACAAAAGCACAATAAATGCCTCATGTAAAATAGGCCCAGAATCAATTTTTAGTTCAGATGCTACATTTTGTTCCCCTCACTCCCTCTAGGGTCTAAGTTGTGAGGCATACAGACAGCCTATAGCTGAGGTGGCATACATGCTAAATAAATAAATAAATAGTCTGTATGGATAATTCCCTGGCTTTATTGTTAAACAGTGGTTGTGCAAGGCAAGATCCAAACTTCTTTTTTAAATCCATTAGTACAGAACTAAACTGGGCCCAATTTAGTCTTCCTAGGATTTTAGGCACCCTCCAACCACGTCAACTTTATGTTGAATGTGCACACACACACTTTCCTTCCACTTTCCTTCCAATATATACATACTCTCTCCTATTCTTACAGTAACAACCAATGAAATCATTTCTTTCTCATTGTGTTCTCACTGCTGTAACATGGGAAGAGTAAGAGACTAGGGAAGAAGGCCCCCTTCCATTTCTGTACTGTATTACTGATGAGCTCAAATCAGCTTCTGCCCCATTATAAGTATCAATCTCTGTACCATAACAGGAAAAACAAACCTGGCTCTTCTGTTCTGTTGAGGAGGCCTGAACTTTCTCATCAGCTGGGACAGAGGCCATGGCACAACTGAACGTAGTAAAATATGAGTGATCTAAAAAAGAAAATGTTGGTAGGAAAATTTCAACATGAATTCTAACCATTTTGTGTTTTTTGTTTTTACCATATAGGTATATTAAGTTGTCTAATACTGAGACCTTGGTTCATACAGCTTAATATTGTCTATTTTTATTGATAGTGGCTTTCCTTTCCAGCTTCATTGCCTCAGATTCGTTTTTTTTTAATTGGAGAGGCACCTGTATTGAATCTAGAACCCTTTGCATACAACATATGTGCTCTAGCACTCAGAAAGATTTTTTACATGAGGTATTTATTATGTGCTAATCGTTCCCTCCTCACAGTTGCTTAGGGTCTTTAGGGCCTGACAGTGACCCTCCACAAGAAGTAACTGAAATACCCATAGTGTTGATCAAAAAAATTTTTAACCATCCCCACCCTCAATTCAGCATTGATTTTGATCTATGGTTCTGGGTGTACCTATATCACAATTATTTTGAGAAACAAGTATTTCTGCAAGTGAATGTGAGAAGTGCTCAGCCATCTTTAAACTCTGCAATTTTGGCCTTATCAGGGTTCTGAGATACAGCGACACATGGGTCTAAAGATCATGCACCAGCCTTTCTTGCAGCCACCCTTTCACACCACACTGCACTGCATGACTATGAATGTTTCTCCCCTGGAAAGTGTGTTGGCAAATGGTAAATAAGCATTTTCAGGGCCCTACCATGTTAGTTTGTTGCAGAAAAAGCAACAAAATTTCTTGTAGCCACTCAACCACTGTTCAGAGCCTAAACCACGGTGGACTAGTCTATGTCACCAGATACTAGACAAAACTTCTAAAATAATATTCAGCCGTTTAAATAACATGTTATGAAATAACATTAAGCTAGGTTAAGCCTTGTTAAGTACATAAAACTAAGTCTATGATGGCATACACGCTTACCTGGCTAATAGATTTCAGTGAACTCCATGGGACTTACTTTACAGTCGACAAAGCACAATCCTATGCAAGTCTAGATATGAAAAAAATCCCTTTTTTTCTGTTTTCAATTTTTCTGTAGTAGTCGAGGATTGCCTAGCACGGCTGGCTGGGACATGCTGAGAGTTGCAGACCTTTCCTTGTTACCTGAGTGTCCCTCTCATCACGACTCATCCTCACGCCTTCTGAAGGCCAAGCGGACCTTGCTCTAAGGGTGCCATTTCCCCCCGGGCATTTTTGCACAAACCTAAATCCTGCAACGTCCAGCACGTCCCTGGATGGCTGGAAGCTGTGGGACTTTTTTTTTTTTTTTGGTCTACCGTGCTTAGGTTTCAGCCCTAAAACTATGTCTTAGCAAGAGCTTCTTTTCACGGTTGCCCTGGAACCCAGCGGGGGGCAAGCAGCACGTAGTGGGGCTCTCAGCGGCGACTACAGTAGAGAAAGCGGGCTTGCCTAACATCCGGACGTCATGTTGCGTTAGCTTACCTTCGGCTTCCTCCACGACCTCGCACACGCCTTGTGGCTCGCTTGCCACGGGCGCTCAGTTTGTTTCTCTCCGCCCCCTGGTGCCGCACGCAGCCTCCTTCTCGGCCTCAGCCTGCCTCAAACCTTCCGGGCTGAGCCCGCCAATTGCCCAGTGTGGCTTGTAGTTATGCAAGAGCGAGAGCTTTTTCAGTCAGGACCTCAAAACTTGCCAGCCTTGCTCCGGAGAGAAGTTAGCAGGCGGCGTCGGCAGAGCGAGGGAAAGTTTGTCAGGAGAGCGGGGAAGCGTTTATTTATTCTCTAATGCCTGTTCTCAGGAAACGTGGAGCCCAGTCTTGCAAAGGGCAAAATTCTTTTGCTGTAAATATGCAGTGAGGTTTTCACATTCTGTTTTACATTTTTAATACAGAAAGCCTGCTCTCATAACAAGTCTGGGAAGATTTCTTTGAATTGCAGAAATTTAAATCCTTACGTATTTGGAGGAGAATTTGCTGTAGACTACAATTTGCAGAAAAGGGCTTCCCGCCTTAAATGATAGTGCCTGAGAATGCTGTGTAAGCAAACACACCCTTTGCTTTTCTCGTTTGGTTTTGCCTTTGGCCTTCTTTCTTCCTTATTGCCGATTGTGGAGTACCATAAACTCGGAAAACAAATAGGGCTGTTCACCTTGTGCGCCACTCCCTGAAGTGAAACAATAAGACAGAATAGGACAAAGCTGTGTAACACCTTTTCGTGAGCTGTACGCCTGATTGTGTGCATGCTTTCTCGGAAATCATTTTTCATGAAAGACTTTCTCCATAAAAAGTGTACACATGGTGTTTCTGACTGGGTTTGCTGCTGTCTCTACTTCAGGTGAAGCTCTACCTGATCAAGTCCTGACAAAATAGTAATAATTTGTCTGGTAACAAGACTCTTGCTGAGACAAGTAAGCACTTGGTCACATTTAGCTCATTTCAGCTCATAGAGGATCAGACCTAGTGGCTACTAAAGATACCCAAATCTCTTCCACAAGCAGAGGTCTTCTCATTTTTTCCTCTCAGGAAACCACCTCCCAGTTCTAGCCTGGTGTGGTTAAAGATTCCTTTGTTTTGATTCAGAAAAGGCAATTATGTACTGCTATACTTCACTGCCACCTTCTGGATGCTGATTTGTTTATTTTAGAATGCGTATCTCCTTTCTATTAAAACATCAAATTTACCAAAGCAGACTAAAACATACATACCAGATTCTTCCCCAAAGTCAAGTTACTAGAAGTACATCAGAATGGCCTGCATAGACTTCTCACTGATAGCTGACTGGCAAGACTGGAATAATAAGCTATGACTTTTCTAAGAGAGGAGTCTCTAATATGGAGAACATCATACTGTGGTTACCAGAATGTTGCTTGCAAGAATCACTTGGATAAAAGGTAGTTGCATTGACTTCACAGTACACAAACTTCACAATATCCATTGTTACTGTAATATAAAAATGAGCTTTTACCTCTTCCTTATTCTGGCTTGAGATAAACCTGAGAAATGGAAGCTTGCTGTGCCTAATGCATGTATAGAACAACCCCGTGCATGTTTAGACAGCAAAAAGTCCCACATCTCCCAGCATGTTCCATTGAGTCATTGTGCCCCTAATCGCTCCATGGGTCTACAGAGAATCAGTACAGTAGTTTGAAATTACTTGGCGTAGAAACAAAGCTTTACTTTTTTGCTTTTCAGGACTTAGTTATCCAAGGATAAATATGGGAGGAGAGCAACTAGGATGCTACTTTTGTATATAGATATCTCATAGAGTTGGAATTTGGGGGATCTTCAGAAGGCATTCCAATTAATATGACCAGGTCAGCCCTGCTCCGCCCGCACCCACCACCAACATGCATTCATTATCCACATGTAACAAACATCTGAAAAGGGATTTTGTGTAACTTAATTTGCTCACAACTGGCCTGTTACCTTTGCCTCTGCCATTTTCCCCTTTTGCCTGTATTGCCCAAACACACATATTTTAATGCACACTGTAAGTTATTCTGAGTACAGAACTTAAAATCTGTTTATGTTGATCTGCAAAGTGTCATGTGAAACCCAGATACTAACAGTGTAGATGTTTGCACAGAAAACAGCACCCATAACCTACAGGAGGCAGGGCTTGTGGTGGCCCCAAGGATGGCAGAAGTACTGAAGACTTTCAGGAAAACAAAACAAAATGAATGTGCAGAAATCAGCCCAGTGAGGACAGAGCAGGCTCAGTAGCAATGGGAGGCTGTTGGAGTGGGAAGAGAGGAAAATGAGGTGGAATAAAAGGGGCTATCACAGAAAGGGTATGACTGCCTAGTTAAAACCCTGAACTTGGGATCTGAATCTCAACACTTCTGAAAGCTCCACTTGGCTCTTGCTATGTGACAAAACCCACCATGCAGACTGAATAGTTTTATTCATCAGAAACGTTTTCCTGTTGGACATTTATGGAGATATCGAGAAAGTAACATGTTTGATAATATGGTGACAATCACTACTTGGAGCAATTTTAAAACCATTAGAATGTTTTCATAGGCCCTTGGATGGCCTGCATATCTTAAATGATTTTAAGAAATAACATTTTTCTGAAATTTGGACACGGTTTAACAGCACCTGTACAGCAGTAATTGCAGCAATACATAAAGTAAATTGTTCAGAAAGGTATGTTCCTGACACAGTGAAAAAACTATGCTCTGATTTCTTGTTGCCTTAATACTAATGTATCCCTCTATGACTATAATACTGAGAGCTGTACACGCCTAAAACTAAAAAGCAAACATTAAATGGTTATCACTAGCTGTGACTGGCTATGATAGTGTGACGTGTCTAAGGGATTAGTATGTGAAGGGTCTTGCAAGTGCAGGGTAAAATATAAACCATAAGAAGCAAGCAAGAAATCAAAACTAAACCTGAACAGACAAGAAGAAATCTCCTGGCTTATGGGGAGAAATGACTGCAAACTTGGGGCTGGGGGAGTCCTCATACTGCATTTGGCTAACTACATTTCCTTGATAAGAACCAATGGGCTAAAAAAGAGGAAGTAATGCAAATATATTGACTTTGCAAGTGGACTTTGGCTTCATTATCTTTAAAATCACACAACTGAAATGTATTCCTGCTTTGGTTCTTTGTAGGGGTTATATGGATCTATTCATTTGGCAGCTTTCACTGAAATGACTGAAAATTAACAATAGAGAACACAAGGTTCTTATTTAAATCTAAATGAGCCCATTCATGTTTCATATCATATCATGACTTGGTGTTGTGGATATTCAGCGTACTCAAGTTTCCATGTATTTTTTTTTTTCAAACCAGACTGTTTTGTGCTCCATGCTCCTTTTGCATAGTTTGTGTCACCAAGATTTCCCCCTTATGAGCTCTACATGTATATGACCTTGTTACCTGAGTTATGGTCTGCCTGTATGGAGCTTATATACTGGTGGTGATGTGCTATGATTGGCACAATACCTTATGCTCCCTCATGTTGACATGGGCAAAAGTCATCAACATGGGGGTATCTATTTTTTTAAAGCATAAAGCTTATTTAATTCCCCCCCCCCGTGATTCCAACCCCATCATTATTATATATCTTAAATTAACCCAATTTCATAACAACCCAAATGTAGGAACCATGTTCATAGATGCTCTCATCCTGTAATTCTTCAATGTACCCATTAGGATTCCCATAATAATTGATGTCTGTTTTCATGACACAGTGAATATGGAGGTAAAGTTCTGGAATAATCTCAGTTTTCATCTTGTACTCTCTTTTAGCATGGGCTTTTCTACAGAAAATATTTTGGTTATGAACGGCATATATCTTAACAAGGGAAAGAGCAGTATCATATAGATACGTGAGGGGGTGTCATACAGAGGTGGGTAGAGACCTATTCTCCCCTTCAGAGAAAGGCAGGACATGCTTCAACAGGGAAAAGCTCAAGGAACCAAGGATCAATTTGGATGCCAGAAAGTATTTCCTCACAGTTAGGACCCCAAGAGTATGGAATGTGCTTCCACAGAAGGTGGTTGAAGCCCCATCAGTGAGAGTGTTCAAGGATAGGCTAGACATGCACATGGTAGGCATGTCATGAGTGGAGCCAGCTAGAGCCAGGGGTCTGACTAGATGGCCCAGGAAGCCCCTTCTGACTCACTCTGTTTCTATGTTTTTATATTATTTTGTTCCACTATCTGTCCTGTTTCAATGGAGCAGTTCTATCTACTTGGAGATGGAAAGATCTAGGATGAAACCAATGCTGCATCCAGAGGTCTGCTGATTCAGAGAAGCAATGTTGGTTGTGATGGATTCGTAACTCCCCCTTTTCCCTTGTGGTTTTCCTTCTTTAATGTTAATTTTTTTTTCCATAGAATCATCTCATTTTAGGCACTATTGTCAGGGGAATCAGTGGTAGAGTTATTCCATGGTTCCATGGTTTCAGTGGTTTCCATGGATTACAGATAATCAAGACAGAGGTATGTTCTGCCAAGGAAGGTCCTCTTTGATGTCAGAGGGGAACATCTGTCCCATCCCAGCCATAAACTGAGACAATTCAGATTGCTGTACCTGTCACGATTTATAAATAAGTTTCTTTCCATTTTCATTGTTGTCATTATTTGCTGCTGCAAAGCTTTTCAGGCCAATGTACGAGGTGTGTCCAGAAAGTAATGAGAATGATATTTTTAAAATTATTTTAATTTTTTACAAATGAACATTGTCTCCTTCAAAGTATGCACCTTGGGAGTGTACATGATATTCCCAGCGATTTTTCCATTCTTCATAGCATCCCTGGAAGTCTTCAAGTGGGATGGCATTCAGAGCCTGCGTAGTGGCTCTTTGGACGTTATCTACACTACCAAAATGGTGTCCTTTCAAACCATTCTTCATCTTTGGGAAGATGAAAAAGTGCCAAGAAGCCAAGCTGGGGCTGTAGGGTGGATGGAGAAGCACCATGATGTGTTTTTCAGCCAAAAACTCTCTGACAGCCAAAGCACTGTGACTTGGTGTGTTGTTCTTATGAAGGATCCAAGTTGAGCTGAACTCAACTTGTGTCATCAGTACACTTGTACAGAGGATAGTGCAGCTTTTCCATAAGCTGTCCTCACCGTTTCCAAAGTTTCTGATGCACGTTTACCCAATCTGAGACAATTTTATCGCAAACCACTGTTTCAAACTCACATTTTTCTTAATATGAAGCACTTGAACAGGGTGTCACAAAAAAGAATGCCTCGACTCTGACAGGGCTGGAATGCAACTGATCTGTGTTCTAACATATACCTGGCACCTCACCCCTGACCTTGGCCAGCTTCTCCCTTCACAGAGCCCTTCTCAAGCATAGGGACTTCATTCTCATTACTTTCTGTATTTAACAACTTATTCTTGTCAGTGTAAGGCACATTGATTGGAATTTCGAAGCTATTAAAGGGTTACACAGTTTTAAGAATCTTTTAGCTAGATCTCCTTTGTAACCTGAAGTTATCTAACTAAATATAGGGCTCTGAGAACAATAACTGGTGACAGTGAGTAAACTTGAAAAAGGAATACTTGAGTTATGGTGCAGTTCAGTGGAAGACCTTGATCTAACTCTGAGGTTCTTATGAACCACTAGGCCAAAGCCGTTTTTGCTGGGCAGACCTTTCAGTCCTCTAGCAAGGGCACTTTGAACGAAGAAGGGGAGGAACAAGACTGGAGGAAGCTCAGGATAACTTCTATCTGGCCTTTCCAGTTTCCTTTCCTCCCCACCCATCAGAATGCCCTGTCCCTCCCATGAGGTTCCCCCTGCCAGCTTGTGAGAGGGTGTGAATGTGCATCTCCAAATGATAGTTTTATAACTAGTTTAGTATGTGTGCTTAGACGAAATATAGTCCTACAATTCCCAGCATGGCAGGCCAACATGCTCACAGGGAATGCTGGGAGTTGTAGGACTTAACTAGACTTGCATAGGATTGCACCTTAAGAGAAGCATTGGAGCTGGTATGGAATCCATTTTGTTAGAAATGTTAGAATTATACCACCTGCTTCAAGGTTTTTTCCAGTCCTGTAAATTTAAGATCTTTCTGTTACAGATGGCTGAAACAGGGTGTAGAGTGGGTTTGTTGTTTCAGTAGTTCCCAAGAACTGCAAGCTTTCAGAAGGTTATGCAGCGGTCCGTGGGGTTTGTCTGGGAACTGATTCCAGCATAATTAGGCAATGTGTTTGTATCTTTGGGGAGATGGGAGTGACATGAAAAGAGCTCTACTATGAGATGTGAATGTATAACAGAGCATAAGGAAGTGGCTTGGAAAAGATTAGTAAGCAAACAATTCAATGCATGTTTAGACAGAAAAAGGTCCTACAACTCCCAGTATTCCTTTGCTCTGCCATGCTGCCTGGGGCATGATATGAATCACCAGTGCTTTTTTGTAAGAAAAAGGATGCCGAAACTCATGAAATGATTTACCTTTTGCACGTAGTGAATCACTGTACACTCACCCACACACATCTGTTGTGTAACGAAACGTAACAGTTGCCACCCGCAGTAAGCACTCAGCGCGCGACCACACAACCAATCACAAGCCGAGCAGCGCCACAAGCCGAGCAGCGCCATCACAACCAGTGCGGAAAAAGTACGCATGCATCGGATTCGACAAACAAGCAGCCCGCATCCACCGTTTTAATGATTTTGCTGCCGACCTGCTACGCTCAGCAGGGTGATTCAAATCCATGTGGACCAAACATCAAATTTTCAAAAGTTACTTTAACAACTTGGAAAATCTGTTGAAAAAAGCTGCCGGAACTCCGTTCCGGTGCGTTTTATGACAAAAAAAGCACTGTGAATCACTAAGCTTTTTTCTGTATGAGCATTGATAGGATTCTGTCATAATGGTGCAGTCCAGCAGGGACACCCATAAGCTTCTGAACTTGGATGAAATCAGGCATCATATGAGGGGCAGGGTGGAGATGTAATCTCTGCCTCCCACCTCCTCCCACCTCCTGGAATGAGCTAGACAGCCAGCTTTGCAAGGATGCAATGCTTTGTTGGGAATTGGAAGAGAGCAAAAATACCACCAGGATATGTCATAATCTAGCAGCCTTGTTGCCCTCCCTGTGCCCCCTAAAGTGCCCCATTTAAGCTATTCTGCTCCTCAGAGGAGCAGCCAGGGTTATTATTTCTGCAAGGGTGGCTTCCAAGGTCAGAGTTCTGTCTGTGCATGTGGGAATCTGAATAATCCTATGGCTTCCTATATGTAGTCTAGGGACTGTAAGATCTCTCTTCCCGCCAATTAAGGGCACAATTCTGTACATATTTAGACAGGGGAAAATGTCCTCCATGTCTCAGGATGCCCCAGGAAGTTTTCTTCAGTCTAAACATGCACAGGATTCTGTTTTAAGGCAGCATTCCTATATACATTCAGTAAGTACTACTGAATTCATTTGGACAGATGTTTGAGAAGACATGGGTTTAAAAATAAGTGGCCTTTTAAGTACACTGTCTAGGAAGTAAATCATTTTGAATTCAGCAGAACTTCTGCATAACCATAGTGAGATAGGATCAACCTGAAAGCAACATAACAAAGATAAGCAAGTGTAAGAGAGGCTAGGAATTGCTTGGAGGTCCTGTTGTGCCTCAGAAATTTATGAATGTCCACAATAGTTGTGAGGCAATGGAACTGTAAAATATCCCATCTCCAGAAACCTTTTACAAATGAATGGGCAGAGTGATTGCTGAAAAAGGCATGTGTGTGACAAATCTGACTTTGAAGGCATCTGAGTTTTTATCACCTTTATCCCAGTGATCAACCGGCATTATGCTTTAATTGTTGAACAGGTTGATCCCAAGTCTCTGTCAACAGCGAATAGTAACAACAGAAACCATCACACAGAAACAGAACACAAAGTCTTTGAAATCTGGGAATGGAGAAAGGGAAGATTCCACAGCTTGACAAACCAGCTGAGAAACAAACCAGACAAAAACAACCCACCCCTCTAATGTTTAAAATTACTACAAATGAGGTTATATACATGGGTGGGACCTACACTGTCATTTAAGAATCAGCATTAAAAATGTAGAGGAAGTTTCAGTAATGTTCTCAACTGTATCAAATGTGCCAACTACTTAGCATGCACCTACTTAATAGGTGTGGCATCTCCTTACTTTGACACTAGATGTTGCTCTTGGGCTCAGGTGCTTTCTAGTTTGTCCCACAAGAAGGTAGTTTTACAACAGGTGTGGACTGGCTGGGATAGGTCTAGTTTTCTCGCTCTGACATTCTTTACCATAAAAGCATAAATCCATTGTGGAGGAAAACCTTTTCCCCTGTCCCTTGGAACTGTATAAACATTTCTGGATAGTAAAGGGCAAGAAAGCTATATTGTGAAGCAATGGCTTTCCTTTGGAAAGAAATTTTGATGGAAATATTCTTGGGTATGTATCCAATTTATGTTGCATTCTGAATAGGTTTGAAGTAATACTTTCAGGGGGTGTCCTTTTTAATTTACTGTTTTTAAAAAGCAAAACAAAAGCTGTTGATTTGATGTTTTTCCTGTAGATAAGTTTAAAATGGTTGCTCTGTTGATAAATTGCTCCTAGGTTGTTGGTTTTTTTTTTTAAAGAATTCTATTCTATAATCTTTTGTTCTAAGTTGAACCATTACAGTTAAATTTGTGAAAGAAGGTGTTACCGGTGCTTAGTGACCACCCTTTTTCAAAAATGAATTCCTTGCTGATGATCAAAGGGATCAGTTGATACTTCTGAATATAAATTAGTTGTGTATTTTCCTTAATGTGCAGTCTATCTGTAGATGGGAGCCTGAAGCTATTGCTCTACAGTGTATGCATATGGTTGTGTGTGTAAATTTGGCAGTTTAAATTTGGAGGTAGAGAGTAGGCTCAAACTGTACATAGTGGCAGGAGATCTGTGTAATTACAGTGCAATCTCATAATCACATATAAAGTACTGCAATTTTAAGAGCAAAATGGGTATGTGGGTGAGAAAAGCAGAACCTATAACCCTTCAGCATTTCCTGCTGCACCGCCTCTGCTCATTTGTGGCACTGGAGTCTGGCTGGAAGAAAAAGGATTCTGATAACAAATTGCTCTCTTCACTTTTATATCTCCTTTGTTCTCCAGATGGGGCCCAGCCTATTTTGCATGTGACCAGGGCAACCCCAGGTTTCAACAAAAAGGGTCACCAGTATCATGTACTATCTGAGCCTCTGGGAATGAGTAAGAGGGTTCACCTGGAGTTAACTTCAGGCTCTCATGCAAGATTTGGTGGCTGTACCCCATTCTTGAAGAGTAGGCTTGCTTCCAATCTGGTCTGCTTTTATATTTGTAAATAAAACAGAAGTTTCAAAAACAAAATGAAGGAAAGATGTTTCCATTGCCCTCTCATACAAAGGAAAATAAAACCCTCTGGACTTTTTAACACTTCGCATTTACAGCTTTATTTTTCTGTGCAAGTTCCAGGAACATGTTTTTTCTCAGTTCATCATTTGGATTGCTGTTAAGAATGACCAAGGTTAGCGTTTCTTCCTGCTAGGTGATCAAACTAGCTTTGTTTGCTTGGCAAGCATGAACATGCAGTAGTTAAAGTCCTGTGAACTGCAAAGGTGACTTGGAGCACAGTCCTATGGAGATGTGTGAAAGCATTCAGTCGAGAGGCTCACACTGAACCAGTGACCAGTTTTACCTCCCTCCCTCTCCTCCTCTCACTTTGACTTTTTCCTGGGTGTCTGTTTTCCTAATTTTTGTTTATAGCAGTGTTTCAGGTGGGAAGAAAGGAAACTGGACCAGCTTCAGGATGCCTTTGCTTGGTCCCTTTAACTCCTCTCCATGGTTGCTTTTCTGGCCTTGGAAAGCATCTGATGCAATTTTTTCTGTAGGGAAGGAGGGGGGAGGGGGTCAGAGCTCCAATTTGCCACTCTGAGTTTGTAGAGTTGCCTCCAACCCTGGAGCTAGAAAACTGAACTATCCTGTGACTTCTCAGACAATGTCTGTGGGGCAGCCACTGGATCATTCCCTATTTTCTTGTGCCCAGCATCTCATTTTTGATGTGTGTTTGTCCTTTTTAATATTCAAAGATGAATAAGGTGCATTAATCTGAAATTCATAATGAAGGGCCATGCTTAAAGTATTTTGGATGTTCATATTAAACTGTGGTGATACAGAATTTATCTTGCATTGTTCCAGGAGACACATGAGCTGTTTGCTGAGACTTTGCTGTTCCTGATCATGTCCACATGTGCTCCTCTCACTCACTTCCCCTCTAAAATTCAATGTATTTTTAAAGTAGTTCGTGGCAAAGTAGCACCAAAACTAGAGTTAATAATTTGAATTAGGCTAAAATCCTATACACTTACCTGAGAGTAAGTTCCATTGAAGTCAATGGGCTTGCTTCTGAGTAGGTATATATAAGATGGCACTGCAAGATTACACTGTATCCTGCACATATCAATGCAGAACCAACACCGATTGAATTAAATGGAATTTACTACTAGATGAATGTGTATAGGATTGCAACCTTTATGCTCTTCTCATTGTGACTTCTCCTAGTTATCTGCAAGCAGTTGTTGTTTGCATTCATTCTTACATTCATCTCTAATTATTTAAAGGGTTGCCTGGTGATCATTGTGCTTAATTCTGCATGATCATGTATACAGTAGAGACTCAGAAATGCTGAACTTTGGCTAGATTCCTCCTCCCAAATATTTTATCTCTTAATTTATCTTGCATGTTAATTAGTGTATTAAAGACCATGGTAACTAATATTATACTTGTAATCATACCATTGGATAGTGACAGCTTGCTAAAACTGCCAGAATTAAGAGCTGGGAGCATGTAGCTGCCATTTTGAATATGCAAAATCTCATTGGGGTGATCAGGGGTTGCCTGTGTCATGGGAACAGAGCCAGCATGGATAATATGAGGGTTAAAGAACCCTCATTTAAGCCTACTGCTATTCAAATTGACAGCCACACACTCCACAGCTTATGGGGGGTTATAGAACACACAGTCATCCTCCACATTGTATCAACTGGGTTCATCTCTACTAGTCTGACCAAAAAACTCAGCATTTCTATTCTTTGGCCATACTGGCTGATGCTGATGGCAGTTGAAGTCAAAACATCTGGTTGGTGAAGGTGGATATATATAGTTTTAATTAGTAAATATTGAGTAAGAACTTGGTATGATTCAGAACTGATCTTATCAAACACAGAAGGTGTTTGTTTTAATTTGTTAGGTGTGCTTAGTAACATATAGTTCCTTAGGAATATTTTGTAATGGTTAGGAACACTGAAATAATTAAGATTGAAATAATGAAATAATTAAGAACTCTAATTTATGGATAGGATATAGCATTAGCTAAATGCTACTTGGCAACTGTAGGCTTTCTAGATGTGGAGTAAAAAACTGAAAACACTCTGCAAGGTTCACCTTTCATAACAAGCGAGTTACACCTGAGGAACTTGGTGAGTGTCACCATAGCAAGCTGGAAATCACCCATGAGTGTACTATGTTTGACCTTCCAAACCACTACTGACAGATTTGTTTAACACATTGAAAATAAGTGATTGATGCTTACATTAATTAATGCAAATAGAATAGAGACTGGTATAACTATCACTAGAAGCAATATCAACACTGCAATATGTTTGATCTAATGAGTTTTCACACTTGGTACTCTAATAGTATTTACAAATTCAAGTAAGATCTACTATGGAAAATGTGTGATGATGATTTCCCTCTTTATTTCAGGTTATGTTTCCTGGTCTCTTTATTATGCCCTTCCTCCAATGATCTATTATTTTCCATTACAAACATTGGAACTCACTGGCTTGGAAATTTTTGCTGTTGCATTTTTCTCTCCAGTGTTTTTAACTATTGGTCCATTTTGGAGGCTGGCCAACAAGAAGTACATCTTAGCCTTGCTAAGATTGACTATGATTGGTGAGTAGGGTATCAAAACTGTGAACTGTGTTTGTAGGGAGATCAACAACAACATAAAGAAAGGACCGACTTTTCAGATCATATTAACATTAAATTTTTGAGGGGGGCAATCATATAATGGCTACTCAGAAGTAAGTTTATAATATCAACTTTCTCGCCATAGGTTGCATAGCTTCATACCAAGCTCCAAATGCTTACCTTCGACTTTTGATCTTGGCTACTGGTGTCTCTTCATCACTGATAGTTCAAACAGTAACATGGTGGTCTGGGAACTCTTTGCAAAGGTATAGTGTTAATGGAATGTAAACTATTAACTATTATAGTAATCAAGAAAACTATTATTTTCTCTCATACTGAAAACATGCAAAAGTCAAAACTATTAGCTTAGAGCTACACCTCTCTTGAAAGAGATTTTTGAATGTTTTCAGCTGTACATAAAGAGACTAAATAATAGTTGTAGTAATGACACAACAACAGCAATAAATATATAACTGCCACATCATTTGCATTTCTCCTACATGTTTTAAAACACTCTGTTTTACAGATATTGCAGAATCTGGGGATTTTTACTAGGAAAAATTCTTCTTCTTGTCCTTCGGATTTGGTATGCCTCATTAGACCCACTCTGGAACTGTTCGACATTCAATATTGCTATAATGATCTTAGGTTTCATGGTAGCTCTTGAGAGAACATGCACAGGTGAGGTTTCAGAAGTAACCCATACTTCTTTTTGTACATTCTGAGCAGAATTTCCACCAAATGCTTGGAATATGTATGCAGACATCTGTCAATATGAGCAATAACTGAGTGGGTAGGCAATTGTTAATTCCAGTTTCCAGTTCTATCCCATTTTTAATCTGTTTTGCTGCTTCCTTCCTGTCTTTTCCTTGAGACACTTTACTGACCTGCTTGTCACTCTGATCTCAGGATCCTGCTTTTCTTCCTTCATTCCTGTCAGGCTCATATCATCACATTGCAACTTTAAGCTCCTGCTGGGGCTCCAGCAATGTCCATCTTGTTCCCTCCCAGCAGCACTGAAAACCATTTAAATTTCCCACAGTTCCCTTCACACACCATGGCCCTAGAGCACTGTGGGAAATTAAAATTTCCCCTTCCAACTGAGGACAAATAACTGTTGTGGCTCAGTACTGGTTGATTTGCTGCTATCAGCTGCTGCTGCTGCTGTGGCAATCCTATAGAGGGACCCATGGATAAGAGGGGGCTCCCAAAAGGACACTTGGTTAAGGACTCCCTCAAACCTTGAGCCGGCCCTGATTCCTATTCAGGCATAGCCTTTCCATGTGGTCATGTAAGTGAAAAGCCATATACATGCTCTGTCACCAAGGAAAATGTATATGGAACCATAGGTAAAGACAAGTGAGTCCTTTGCCCCCCATTCATTTTAAGGATTAGTTCCTTTTCTCTTCTGCTGTCCCTTGCTGTGTTTCTGGGGCAGCCTTTCCCAGCCAGGATTCCCAGGTTGAGTTATTTGATCATTTCAATAATCTTAATAACATAACAATGAATGTTTACATGATTTGGAAACACATGGGCCAAAATTGAAATAAATAGTACATGGTGGTTATTTTCTTTCTCTTTTTTGTGATAACATGGGGGGAGTGAATGGAAGCAGGCATGAATGGGGGACTGGCATTTGGTGGTTGGCAACTCCCTCATGTTGTTGTCAACATTGCCCTTATTTACATTAAATCCAGGGCTTGCCTTCATAATAATTTTTCTGCAGGGGTTCCCTGAGGCATGAAAATTATTTCAAGGTTTCCTGCAAGGTAAAAAGTTGAGAAAGGCTGCCCTAGAGTGACATGTAATGCATTATGAAAGCCAGTGTGGTGTAGTGGTTAAGAGCATGGGACTGGGACTCAAACGATCTGGGTTCTAGTCCCTATTCAGCCATGGAGCCAACTGGGTGACTTTGGGCCAGTCACAGACTCTCAGCCCAACCTACCTCACAGGGTTGTTGTGGGGATAAGATGGAGGAGGAGAACGATGCACACTGCCTTGAGCCCTTTGTAGGAAAAAGGCAGGATATAAATCAATAAACAAACAAACAAAATTATGGGAGGAGAAATATGCTAACCTACTCTGCAGGGCCAGAAGGGCTCCGTGTATGGGGCTCTTTGGATCCTAACCTATGAATGTAAATGCAGCTTTGTTTAGACAATGATTGTTCCTGGACATTCTTACTGAAAAGCAAGTTCTGTTGTAACAACTCAGTCTCACTTTAAATGATAATAGGGATAGAATTAACACCATGCCAATGTGCATTGTTTAATTTGTGACTAATTAAGTTTATGGTTGTATGCATGGGCACTTAATAACTCTTCATGCTCATACCACCATTACCAATGCAACTGTGCTGTCTTTAAAGGAGTTCACAAAAAGGTATTTTTTGAAGTGGCCTCATTGTTATGAAATTCCCTCTCCAAGGAAACCCACTAACCCTTTGATTTGTAAAATTCTTGTTTGATCATCATTTACTGATTTAATTTTGTGAGAATAAATTCACCCTTCTACCCGCTCACACATACTCTTTTATCTTACATATCTTTCTGCTTCTTGTTTTGCATTAACATTTGGCAATATTTACATGTATTCACAAAGAGAGGCTAAACCAATCTGTCTTGTATGGAAATGTTCTTAGAAATTGCTGTACAGCTACCCATGGTTTGCAGGATTAATGTTCTTTATGTTGATAGTTGTTTGTTTGTTCTTATTTATTTTTAGCTGTTGAGAGCAAGAAACAAGAAAAAACAGAGACTGATAATACAGCAAATGGAACAATTGGTAGACCTAACTGGTTTTTATCAGGCACAGCTTTTGGTAGCCTTCTGTTTCTTACTTCCTGGATTTTCGGAGAGGTTTCACTGATTTCTAGATGGGCAGTGAGTGGACATCCAGAGCCTGGGCCAGAACCTAATCCACATGGGTAAGAGCTTCTTATTCTAGAATTCTTTTTTAATAAAGCAAAACAGAGGCCCCTACAACTTAGAAATTCCACACAGTTAGATTAGAATGACATGTCTGTGGAGCCTCTAAACATATCTGGGTGATCTCTGTAAAAGGATATATAGTTAATGTGTTGGTTTGTATGACACAGGAGCTTATTGCTGGTTTATTAACCCATGATTAGCCACAGCACTTGCTAGTTTTGAAAATATGACTATGGGGTGATCAGGGGCTGTGATATGATGTGTGAATCCAGTCATCATGAGTTAATAAAGGGTTAAACAACCCACACTTATGTCAATTATCAATCAAGGCATCAGTATGGGTTCTTAAACCTTCAACCCATGATGGCTAGGATTTCACATCCCATTGTAATCCCTGATCAAAGGTTACATATTCAAAATAATTGTTATATAGGTCCTGCACATACAGCAGCTAATCATGGTTTAATTAACTCAAAACGACCCATTGTGATGTGTGAATTATGTAGGGATTGGGTTCATTCCTCCCATAATAGAGTCGTTAAAGTGTGTAGATTCATATTTGATTCAGAAGTAAAAGAGGGGGTAAGGTTGGAACTCACAGCTGAAATCCCAAGGCCATTGGACTCAGAGATAAAACAGGCAGTCACTGAGAACCAGACATTTTCCTGTTTGCGGGGAAATTCTAGGGCAAAAATCTCAGTTTTGCCCACTGAGACTGGGAGTGGGCAAACTTAATATCATCAAAATTTGGTCTCAGGAATTGTCCCAAAACCAGCATGATCCACTTTGAAGGTGAAGCCAGCTTTTTTTGGTTTGGAAGAAAGGGGAACTAGTCAGTGTGGAATCAACTTTGTGTCATTACACTGCACTTCCCTAATTGCCCAGGATTTTACTCTTTGGTTATTAACCTTTGCAATACTTTCCTTTTTGCACCGTAAAGCCAGCCTAGCTGGTCAGCTTTAACAATAATGATGATTTCAGGTAGAAAATGTTTTCTCCTAATCTGCTTGGAAGTAGGGGGAGTAGACCAGCAAGAACTGCATCAACCAGTAGAGTTGCCATTTATGTACTGTCCCAGAAGAATGCTTCACTAAAAAAGGAGAATACAAGTGGACACTGATTTGAATTAAATGTGCATATAGTTTAAATGGAAGCACAATACATCTCAGCCTGGAACAAGGCACCCTGTGTTTCTGCTGTCTTGGTCCAACTGTAAACAGGCAACTTTAAAGCTCTTGCTGCTCTTTAAATTGGACTAGAAAAGAATAGTCCTTCAAATAGAGGAGTGTGCTCTGTAACATAAATCTCATGAACAATATATCAGTCAGATCAATCTAAGATCTAACTGCATTCCTTTGTAGAAAGGCAGAGCTAGCTAGTTTTATTTGTAATATCTGGGTGGCAGACTAATAAACACATCAAGCCTTCTCTTCACAGTGGGGCAGCCATAGCCTGTATCACAAGCCAAGGTTTCCTCCTTTGAGCATTCAAAAGCGACAGACAGTTTTCCTTGCAAAGCATTCTTTATTGACCCAAAAGCACAAATCATTCAGCACAAATCTTTGAGTGGTCTTGAGAGTGGTTTGTTGACCCCAGTCTAGTATTCACCTCCAGGAACTCTCCTTATGAGCATGCCTGGGCTCCATCCCTTTGGGAGGGACCTTCTGAATGTGAACACACTCCCTCTCCATGTACCACTTGTCTAATTGGGCCACCTGTCTCTGCTGATGCCTCACCATGGGGTCAAGAGCCAGGCCTGTCTGGTCTGCATCTGAGAAACACTCATTCTCAAAGTCCCTCCTGGCAGCTGTATGTCTTGGTTTACTCCAAGGAACCACCTACTCACCTGAGGAGTCTGACCTAAAGATAAGTGTGTCTGCTTCCTTCATCTCAGTGTCTTGGCATGGCCCATCCTCCCCAGCTCCCCTTTGAGCTTTCATACTCACATTCCAATTCCAAATCTTCTAAAACCCATCCAGCAGTCCTTGAGAATGAGCACCGAAAGCAGCCATCTTCTCACTCCCAACATCCTGTTAAGTTATTGCAGCTGTTTCAAAGTACTGTCATCTGCTCACAATGATCTCTTCTTTTACACAGTGCTGGATAATAAATCTTCAACATGGGTCTTCTGAATATTTCACTTAAATTTTGCATATTTTGAATGCTTATAGTTCCTGCCTCGCTTTAGCTTTGTGATGATAAACATAAATCTGTAATTCACTAAGTGGTTAAAAACCCAGTGAGTCATGCAGGGGTTCAGAAGCATTGTGTGTAATCTGTTGGAAGGGTCCATCCAAGACTATAAATTAGAAGTTTCAGTGAGATAATGAAAGCACATGCTGAATTCACCCCACTGTAAATTCATGGAGCAAAACCACCTATATATGCTTACTTAGAAGCAAGTCCCATTTTATTCAATGGAGTTATTCCCAGGTCACTGGATTGTATCCTATATACTTAACTTTGGGTGGATTTTGCCTTACAAAATAAGGTTTTTCAGGTCCCATTACTTTCACTCAGCTACTTCATTTTTCTACACCTGCTCTTCTACTAACAGGCCAGGGTGGATCAGATCAGCTGCAAATCTGCCACAATAAATTAGAAAAACAATTCTGTATAAGCTAAGGATACTGGACTTTGTCCTATAGAAGAAGCTACACATACATAGTACCATGGATAAGTATGGCTGATTGTGCTGTTGGGCTTGAATTTCTCAAGCTACACAGAATGCTTACCCCAGGACCCCCAGCCTTTGCAGGAATAATTTTTGGGTGGGGGCTTCTGTAAGAATGGAGAAGCAGAAAAGCCCCATATACAAGTGGAAACATCTGTATGCTTCTCTGAATCCAAAGCATTTGAATCTAAAGTACATTTTGTTTTTCTATTATGGGAATATATTTTTGGCAAAATTGCTGGGTTTAAAAACCTTAGAATTATTATTTTCCCCTGTATTCCTCTGTGTTTAACATTTAAAGGACAGAGTAATTATTATATATAAGCCAAAATCTAGTACGACCATGAAATAGAACCCAGTGTGGAGCTTTACAGAGGAATGTGACTCACCAGAAAGGAGCAGAGGAGTGTGTTTCCAATTAATTCCATAAATAGGTTGTGGTCCAGTACACAATTAGTAAAACCCCTGGCACTGTTGCCAAATGGGTTTTCTTTCCAGAGCTTAGAAGAGTATTTCTTGGTACAATAAACTCTATAACTCATTGGGAAATATTTAGCTAGTATTGCCCAGCCATATTTGTCAAAGTGTTCTTCAAATATGTGCTGAATTACTTTGGACTTTCTCTGGAGGAAACAAAGGAATATAGTTTTGGCCTTCTGTCTGAGTTTTTCCAAACCCAAACATAGTAATACAGAACTTTCTTCTATTTCTTATTTCAATGTATAGAGGTGTGGTTCTTTTAGGACTGGCTCATGGGCTGATGCTGTCTTTTTGGTCTTGGTCTACCCCTGCTCTTTGTGGTTGGTGCCTTATAGGTAAGATTATATATGGAGCTCACTTGTACTATACTCCTGAAATCTCTTAAAACCAGTTCATAGGTACAAACCCAGGAAGGAGCATGACCTGCTTCTGCTAAAATGTATGGAATTGAGGCTGGTAGATCTCACTTGTGGTGACATTAATGAGCTCATCTGAATCATTTTTCTATAGGAACAATGAGTGAATGGCAACTCACAGCCATTTTGAAATGATGTGTGAACCATTTAATTTTAGAAAGTTCTGCCACTTCAGGGTTGGTACACCAGAGGATCTGATTTAAAGATTTGGTTGCTTACCTACAACTGCAGAAAGCTTTCATTTTTGTATATGATTTGATTTATATCTGAGTAAGCATAGATAGGTTTGTCCTGTTGGCACTCACCCAAATGACCCTACCATCCACACCAAAGAGTGTGTGCATACGATTGCAGTTCTAGTTTGAATGCAGACAAGATGAAAGAATGGTTGGCTGGGGGTTGGCCGTATTGGATGGGCTCTACCAGAAGAATGGTGAGGAAGTCCAAATAGGCAGTATGGTGAACTTTCCCAGTGTCCCCAAGTCAGGATAGTGTTTGTTTTGTTTTTGAAGTCATGCCATGGACATGGCTTTCAGATTATTAGAAAAGCACCAGAGATAATTGCCTTGAAGCTGCTTTCTCTAAATATATTCTTTAGATAAAAGCCATGAAATCGAAACAGTTTGTGTTACTGAAGCTGCTTTGTCTCTGCACCCCATCTGCAGGAAAGCGGATTAGAGCGTGTGTGTACTGACAGCTTCCAGAACAGTGAGGGAGAAGAATGTTATGAAATCATAGCAAGAGTCATTGTCTTTTGTTCTCAGTAATTTTCCACAACAACATCATTCTTGTTTGTCTCTTTACAGGTACAGCAGGAGCAGCTGGTCTGCTTTACTTACAAACATGGTATGCAGCCATTGCTGGTCTGCTCCTTGCCATCTTTACAATGTGCATGTGGCCATGCATAGCTGGATGCTTTGCTCGCTGTTTACACCCTGGAAAAGTCATGAGTACAGCCATGCTCGCACTGGTGTTAGAACTATTCTTCTGTGTTTGGTGTACAGCTTATAAATTTGTGCCTGGTGGAATTTATGCTAGAGAAAATTCCCATATACTTATGGGTATGTTTACCCTTCTTAACCAAGAGAACTCATCATGTTTGCTTTGCTTCATATCTTGAACTGTTCTAATTTAGAACAGTTTCACAATCCTTTCCTATTTGCCTTCTACACCCAACAATTGCAAGGCCATGATCATTCAAAGATGCTCTTTTTGTTGACAAATATGCAGAATATTTGAAACAGAGAAATGAGGTAATGTGATATAACAAGATTCTTTCATGTCTTCTAAATATACTATTGGGATAAATATTACAGGGACTAGCTAACTTAACTTGTGCAGTAACTTCTGATATTATAAACTACTGAAAATAGTATTATAAAGATAAAAGAAAAAGAACAACAAAAAAGAAACAATCACTTCTATTATATTAACCAGCCCAGAGAGTAAAAATGTTATAATCAGCTTTCCACCGAGAAGTGGGCTATTTTCCTAAAGGAAAAACAAAACTAGTCCTGAATCACAAACAGTGCTTACCCAAGATATTTTGCTACCCAAACTGGAGCTCAGGTAGCACCATACACAAGAAGACCAACACTTCAGAAGGTCTTTTGTGCCACTGAGACACCCACTGCTGCCTTCCTCGTTCTCCTGCTCACTCCGTGGTGCTACCTGAAGCAGGTTGCTTCACCTTGCTATATGGCAGGGCCTGCTTTGATGTTAAGGTTCCTGATCAGGCAGTTTGATATACCAGGAAATCACCATCAAGACCTAGAATACACTTCCCCCTTAAGGCATCTAGACATGGTAACCATTGGAGATTACTTCAGGCTGTGACTTGTGATGGCTTTTCTTATGCTTCTACATACTTAAGAGCAAAAGGAGCCATGCTGCATGGATTAGAACAAAAGCCTATCTAGTCCAGCCTTCTGTTCCTACTTTGACCTATCAGATTCCCATGGGAAGCCAATGAGCAGAACATGGATGTGATGGCACCTTCCCCTCTGTGTTTCCTAGGGACTGGCACCGAAAGGCAGGGTTTTCTCAATACTGGGAAAAACAGATAACCATCATGACTGGTAGCAGCTGACAGCAGCATTCTCACTGTTAAATCCAACCAAGTTGGAAGCCACAACTATATCTAGTATTAGTGAGTTTCATAGTTTAAACTTGCACAGTGTAAAGAAATAATTGCATTTATCTGTCCTGAATCTTCCACCATTTAGCCTTGTATGATGTAGCTTTATATGCCTCTAGCATATATTTCCTTCTCTACCTTTTTTTTCCTTTTTGGCTAAGCAGCCCTAAAAGTTGTAACCTTTCCTTACGGGTAAATTTTTCTACCATGTAATTATTTTCTGTAATTATCTCTTTCTGTACCTTTTCCAGCTCTAAAATATCCTTTCCAAGGTGCAGTGACCAGAACTATACAAGTCTGTTCAAACCATTGCTAACAGAACCTTAGCAATTCTATTTTCAGTCCCTTTCCTAATTATTCCAAGCATCTTCAAAGCAGCCATATGCTGGCTCAACATTTTTCTCAAGCTGTTCACTGCAAACCCAAGGTCTCTTTCATGGTCAGTCACCACCAGCAGTGACCCCATCACTGTATGTAGGAAATCAGAATTGTTTTGCCTCAGTGTGCATGACTGTATATTTACGTATATTGAACTGAATTTGCAAGTAAAATTGGGGGTGTATAGATTTTGTTAAACCTGTTTTATCTGTGTTTCACTGATTGTCCAGTATCTTTCATTCTGTCATCCATTTATTGACAGAATCTGATTTTTTTGAAGCAGAATTCTATTCTACTTTGCACTAATACATATAAGTGCAATGTGGAACTAATTGCACATTAGTTTAATTTGGAACTAATATGGAACTCTGCTCTATCCATTTCTGTTTTAACCAATAAAATCTAGTCTCTCCTCTTATCCCATGACCATTTGGTTTCTTAAGAATTTTTGGTGAAAAATGTTGTCGAAAGTCATTTGAAAATCAGCATAAGTAATGTTTATGGTAGCACTGCATGCTTGCTGAATCTGTCGAAGACCTCTAAAAACTTGGTGAGATAAGTTATTTTTGGAGGCTCTCCTAGTCTTCTACATACCTGATATTTAATTTTATATTTAATATCAATTTCACCAATTTACCTGGAATGTTAAACTACAAATGCTGTATTATCCTGAATCCTCCCTAGGTCCCCCTTTTAAAATTGGCATTATTTCATTTATTTGGAATAATAAAACCCTCAGAATTCTATTTGAAAATATTATTTTAACAAAAAATGAAGGCATGGAAACTGCTATTTCCATATGTCACTCTCATGCAGCTATATTGACTGTTTGGTAGTGTAGAACTCTTAAAGATCGCTTTCCTAGGGAAAGAGTTCTCCTAATGCCAGCCTTAGGAGTTAGCAGGGCTTTTTTTGTCATAGAACGCACCGGAACGGCGTTCTGGCACCTTTTTTCCCCAATGGATTTTACAAAGTGATTTTGAATCGCCTGTCAGTGTAGCACGTCAGCAGCAAACATCATTAACATAGTGCCTGCGGGCTGCTTTTGTGTCTGCGCGGCCCGGCTTGGGATGCTGCTTGGCTTGGGATTGGTGTGTGTAGTCCTGCGCTGAGTGCTTACTGCTGGCAGCGACGCACTTTTTTTTTTTTTTTTTACAAAAAAAGCACTAGGAGTTATGAATAATTAGTGTTTCTAGAACAAACACTTATGCTTAGTAGTCCCTTGGAGGTTTAAAAAAAGTTGGATGGAACAATCCTAGGCATCAGTGAAACTTACTCCAAGGTAAATGTGTATTTAGTGCCTAACTGCCTAATTTACAGCCTAACTGCCATTAAACTCTTCAGGATGCAATACTTTTCCAATAGACTTTAGAAACAAAACAAGTTTCATTTTTATTTGCAAGTTTTTCATAAATCTACATTTTTATTACAGGGATTGTCATGCTATTTATTGTCATGGGTGTGCTAGTTGATTGCAGGAAGGATCTTCACTGTCTCTTTGGAGTGAAAAATAGCCACAAGCCTCTCTTTAAGCAAAGTGAAAAATTTATCAAGTTATGTAAGTATTTATTTTCTTCATTCCTAAAGACAAATGCCAGCTGCCTTACAGAGCATTCACTGTGTGATGCAAGGGGATGAGGATGGGTGTTCTTAATGTAAATAAGTTCTTAGACCAAGGTACAGACAACCTAAAATGCTACTTAAAGCATTCATGGTCACATTTAATAATGTATAATTCCCAAATGTATGCTATTATTTTCTCTCCCTTCCTTAAGACATATTCTCAGGATAAAAACATCTAGATCTACGTACAAAAAGCAAATTAGTTAGGAGAAGAGTACAGTACAGTGTTTTGTACCAACTTCAAAAGACTTCCACAAATAAGAAAATTGCTGGAAGGTTGGTGGTGGGCATACTGTCTCTTCTCCTTTCCTGGCTAGTTGCAGTCTAGGTGTCTGTGAATTAGAAACAAATTTAACCCCCCACCCCCATCCCAAACCAGAATCTGACACAGAGAATGACAGAGCTAAGAGAAAGATGTGTTTGGAAGCTCACAGTACTCTTGTGCACTAGGTCTCTCTCCTAAGACCTGATGTAGGAGCAGAAGATGTCTGTGCCTGTAGCTATGCTATATTTTTAAATAAATGCAAGTACAGGGTGGCACAGGGAAACAGGAAATTTTGGAACTAGGAGTTGGCGACCCTGGGGCATCAGCAATTTTTTGGAACCAGTGCGATCTTGTTTAGAACCCCTTGCCATTAAGTAGTTATAATGGAGCAGTGGAGTGGTGTGCAAGGAGCGTTCGTTGTAAAAGCCTTTTATAAGAATGGTGATAGTGTGACTGCTGCACAAAGGGAATTTCAGTGTCATTACCACTTAGGATGTCATGATCATGTCCCATCTGCTCATGTGAGTACAACATGGGTGCATAATTCCAAAGAAACGGGTTCAGCCTTAAAAGAAGAAGTTCCCAGGTGGTGTTCAACAGTGACATACCATGGCCCCCGAGATCCCCAGATCTCATTGTCTGTGATTTTTTTCTGTGGGGACATCTTAAAAGCCAAGTGTACCGCCCATTGCTGAACTAAAAAGGAGGATTAAAGAGGAAATCGTTTGCATTCCTCTTGACTTGTTACATCAATACAGAACTTCTCAACTGAGTTTCAGAATGTGTACAGAGAAATGGACAACACCTTCAAGACATAAAATGAATATTGAATGAATACTGATTACCATCATTAATTGGCTATCCTATGCAATACATTTCATCATAAAATGTATTTTGTATTTGTGCATATCCTGTTTCCTTGCGCCACCCCGTATTATAAACCTCCCATAAGCCTCCATCCTCCTCTTTCAAACAAACTCCAGGTAAGCACAATATCAGAGACCAGACTATAGACTGAAACAATAGAAAGAGGGAAAGAATATAATCCTGCCTGTGCAAGAACCTGCCTTGATATTTATTTGTTACATGCATGTCCCGTATTTCTCCAAGCAGCTCAGGTGACATCTTTCTACTCTCCATTTCACCCTCACAATAATCCTGTGAATTAGGTTGGCCCAAATATACCTAGTATGCTACATGGTTGTGTGAACACTAGAATCTGGGTTTCCCTACATCTTGGTCCAATACTCTAACCACTATTCCACACTGGCTCTTTTATTTATTATATTACAAAAATGTGTTCTTCATATTAATATACCATGTGCATCTCTCTCTCTCCCTTTTTCAGTTTTGTGGCTGTTTGTTGGTGTAGGCTTACTGGGATTAGGATTGCGATATAAGGCTTATGAAAAAAAACTAGGCCACGGGGTGAGTAATTTGCTTCTCACCTCTAATGTAATGGTATATACTTAATAGTACTTCTTCAGGTGTACCTACTAGTGCAGAAACATTACATTGGGATGGAGTGTATGGAACTCTACACAGAGGTCTATTACAACATCTGTGAAACTGTGAGAATACACACTAAATCATAAATAATTGTTCAGCAAGATTCCGATACTCAGTGCATGTCAAAGAAGCCAGTTCAGTCTTAGACCATCAAATGATGAGAAATCAAGCTATGTATGCATTGCATGAACCCTGACATAGATAGGAATCTGGAGTGGGGCCTATGTTTGGTTGATTAAAGGATTTATAATATTATCATGTCTCTGGCTTGCACTTGGATTAGGTCATAATTTGTGGAATAAATTGTACTTTGGCTCTCTTATATTTTATTCTTATTTATATTTCCTTAACAGGGTATACCCCACTTCACAGATTTTCACTAGCAAACAAGACAGGTCCCTGCCCCCAAGACATTAGAGTAGGAAAGCAGGGTAGGGAAGTGCAAGGGCAGCACATAGAAAGGCAGTCATATGCTTTTTCGCATAATTACAATTGGGGGTAAGATACAGAGATGGGGAAGGCATTGATTTGCTTGCCTACATTCTCTAAAGAAATCACTTCAAAGCTTGCTTTGGCTTGCTTCCTTTTTCATTTTCAACCTGTTTAATTTCTTGTTCAAACTGGAAAAGTGCACATTTCACATGGCAAAAGTCTTAATTTCTGTATGTATTTTCTCAAAAGCACACACTTTCCCTACATGGACTAAGGCATGAAAAAATGTGAGCATGAGTGTAAGTGCATTAAAAAAAAACAACCTGAATGTGACTGAAACTTCAGGAATTTGCAAACAATTCCTGGGAAAAAGTCACCCCTGCCAGTGTTCAGGGTTGTGAACAGGACAGGTCCTCATGATTTGCAAACAAATGAAATCCTAATGATCCCTAATTAGACTGGAATTAGTTATTTCATTTTATGTCACTATTTCCTTCCTGTTACCTGTTCATTTACATATTCTATTTACATCATACCACCATCTGTAATGTTCTCAGCCTCTTTGAGATCTTTGGTTACTGAGAGGTTAATACGATTATATGAGTTAACACCACGGAAAGAAACCAATAGAATATTTTCCTTCTCACCTTCTCTGTAGCTTCCAAAGAAGGACTTCTCTGCTCTGATTTGGCCATTCAGATTCGGCTATGATAACAATGGATGGTCTAACCTAGCACAATCAGCTCTTCTGCTAAATCAAACAGGTACTTTCAACAGCATCATTTGCACAGTATGTTTGCCTTGCCTTCCATAGTAGACTCCTCCACTGGTGATTAGGGGGAAAGGGGACTTACTTTGTTGGCTAGGAGATACGAGCCATTGATGGCAGAAGAACTCATTGTCTTTTAGCAGGTGATAGGAACAACAGCTCAGCTAACAATTGCTGTTATAGAAACAAAGGAAGTAGGCTTTGTCAGGTCAGATTGTGTGTCCATCTAGCCCACAATGACTGACAAGGGCTCATCAGAATATAATTTTCCTGTTATTTCTATGTCCAAAAAAGCATACTTTTGTAAACTACTCAGCCTCAGCTATTGGGAAGTATACCAATGAAATAAAGAAAATAAACATTTTGTTGCAGGCACAAACTATAGGACAGGCTCTGCTCGTCTTTATGCTAGCATTTTAATAATTTCTGTTTAATATAGCAAATTTATTAAGGGTGCAATCCTATGCAAATATGGACAGAAAAAAAGTCTTGCAAAGTCCATGCTGTCTGGAGAATGAGGGGAGTTGTAGGAGTTTTTAATTTGTGTGTGCACATGCTTGGTTGCACCCTAACTCTGTATTATTTAACATACTAAATGGCTAGTGCCTCTCTTAGCTGCTAAAATGTTTGTGATGCACATAAGGCCAATTCAGTTTCAAGTATTCCAACAAGAGTGAGATCTTCTTCATAGCCTGTTACCTGATCCTTTTAACTGGAAATGCCAGGCATGGAATCTGGGACTTTCTGCGTGCAAAGTATGTGCTTGGCCACTGAGCTGTGCTCCCTCCCATTTCAGATAATACAGAAATAGTAAAACTGCTAATGCCGGATCATGCGGAATTCTTGTAAGGAGTATTGAATGTATATGAATACCTAGAGAGAAAAGACTTCTTTATTAATACGGTTTAATTCATTTTTTGTCTCTTAGGTGCAGATTTTATCACTATTGTGGAGAGTGATGCCTCAAAACCATTCATTGGCAACAATGACCCAACCATGTGGTTAGGAGAAAAACTTGGTTTTTACACAGATTTTGGCCCAAGTACTCGGGATCATACTTGGGGGTGAGTGTGTCCAGAAGCAAATTAGGTGTTTAAAGATATCAGTGTGTTATATATTGCAATGGGAATTCTCTTGCTGAATGAAGTGAAGGAACTGCAATCTCTCCTAGCTAGAGCTGGTGGTGGCTAGATGATGAAGCCAGTGACATACACCCTAGCTACTTGGCTAGGGGTGGAAGGAAACAATTCAACAGGCTTTTTGTTTATTTGATAGTAACCATTTATATCTGGTTTTTTTCATTTTTATTTGCAAGTTTAATTATGTTTTCCCATCCCCCCACATTCATCCACCCACACACAACCCTTTGTCTTCTGAGCTCTGTAATTGCAGTGTGCTTTCGCATAATGCACACTACTTGTTACAGCTTCCTTCTTAGGAAAAAATAGGGAAAGGGACAGGTGAGACCAGGGAGAAGGGAGAATCTTTGCATGAGATGAAGAAAGAACAGAAAAGGAAATGTGAGGCATTCATTGGCTTTATGATGTGATGTGCATCAGTTGTACATGGGGTGTGTGTGTGTGTGTGTGTGTGTGCGCGCGCGCGCTTGCAGAAGAAATCTTGTTGGCTCATAAAAGGCAACCTTGGTGGGCTCTAGGCTATACTGTCTTTATGGAAAACTGATGCTGCAGAACAGACTAGCAGTGTCTGCCATCCATCCTATATGCATGCAGAGACACTTACTGGCATGCTTACTGTTTCTTTGAACCATGAGAAATTTTAGCGGGCAGCAGTCTCGGTTTCCTTAGGATGAGAGCTCTGGTAATACAAGTCTGATGCCTATTTTATATCTCCTGAGTAGAAATTGGCTTCAGGCAGCTCTCATCTCTTTTAACTTCATATTGCTAAATCATCACTTTCTCTTTCTCTTCCCCCTGCCACTTTTCAACACACACAAACCTGATTTGCACATAACAAACCAGGCCACCATGATTGAATTTCCCCTTGAGTGTTTCTCATTGTGGTGGGAGCTGCCATATTGAATATTCAGGCCATGACAAGGGCACACTGTAGATTCTCCTTATGTGTTACCGCCAGGGTAGGTTGGCGGACAAAACACCCAGAAACCAAAGGGCTATTTTAGGTTTTGAGGTGACTTGTCCTGCAACCCCTCAACAACCCACGTTCACTGTGTTTGCACATAATCAGAAGTTTTGTGCTCTGAATATCCAAAGTGGCAGCCAGTACTGTGTTGAGAAACCTTGCAGGGAGATTCATCTATGGTTACTTTTCATTCTGTGTGAACCAGAACACACACACCTGTAGTCTTTCCTTAGAGTAATTACATGTGCTACTTTGCAGAGGACAAAGTAGGCACCCTCTGTTTGAAGCCTTAAAGGTAGAGATTTAAAGATAAAGATTTACTAGAAGGCAGAACCAGCTGAGGTCTTGAAATTCCCCATCATCAATTTCCAGACAGCAGATAAGAAAGCACACGAATCAACTGGTCACATCTTTCCCTACTGCTTTTAAGATGTGCTGTACCTCTATTTAAATTATAACAATTATTTCTAAATGTACACCCATACCTATAAATTAGCACACACACATTTTAATGCAAAGCTTGCCCTTTTTTGGCAAGGTATAAGCTCTATCCAATTCTGCTGCCTTCTAAGGGTTAAAATAAACCTTTTGGGGGAAATTACACAAATTCTCTGAAGCGCAGTTACCTCAGCAATAATTGATCCAAAATGAAGCTATGATGGAGTGGTGGGGGAAGTAATTCACATTTGTCAATGCCATCAAGACTCAGGAGAATTGTTGAAATGGGGGAGGACACTGACAAGTGTCATTTCAAGGTGTAATAGCAGAAAATGACATTGCCAGCACAATCTATTGTTGCTGCTAAAACATGACATTGTGTGGAGTTGGGTACTATTTTTCAGATGTGCTATAAGATTGTTTTTAAAGTTGTGGGCCTTTCAGGCAGAAGAACCATTCATACACATTTAAACCAAGTGCATAAATAAACCAGCCCTCACCTAACTTCTAGATGCTTTCCCTATGATGTCATGGAACATAGCCTTTTCCAGAGCTTAATGAATACTCATTCCATGCTTCCCTCACTTCTCCTTTGTTGAACTCTGCATAGGCTTACCACACCAGTGGGTCATGAGACAGCCTGTGTTGACTTCTGCCATTACATCAATAGGTTTCCTTCTCAATATTCGGGTCCCAGGCAAACATTTTGGATCACAGAACACCAGAGGCTGGTCTGAATTTAAACTATGCTTTGGAACTAACAGTATTCAATCCGTTTGCTTTAATGTATTCCATTTATATCTAGCTTTCTTCTTCTTGCAAGGAAACCAAGGTGGTTTACATGATCCTTTTCTCCATTTTCTCCATTTTATATTGCAGAATGATGGTTCTGTCAAGGTACCCAATTGTGAAATCCAGGCATCATCTTCTCCCCTCTCCAGAAGGAGAAATAGCACCAGCCATCTCCATGACGGTGAACTTCACAGGAAAACTGGTGGATTTTGTGGTTGCGCATTTTGGGAATGAAGAGTATGTATGAAAATCATTTCCATGGACAGAAAATGCAAATGTATGAACTAAGCAATGCAGTTGTTTGTTTCAGGCACACCTGAGAAAATCCTTGGATACCGACAATAGATGATGAGGATCAGTACTCTGGTTTCATGTTCACTGAGTAGCAGATAAAAACAATAGTAGAAGTTAGAGTAGGCAAAGCAGACCAAAAGAAATAAAGGATGGTATTGAAAGACTCAGGTTTGCTGTGTGAAGCATAGGACTATTTAATGTAGCCTTCTCCAATGTGGTCCCTTCCCAAAACATTACACTGCATTGTGATTTCTATCATCCTCATACTAATGCCATTGGCCATTCTGGCTGGACATTATGGGACTTGCAATCTTTCTGACATATCTGGAGGACACCAAATTGGAGTATATTGCAAAGTTCATGTTTCATCACCTGATTAGAGGTTGGATATGAACTGAGTCCATTCAAGTGTGGTATGTGGCATTCTGTCTCCTGCTTTGCAGAGATTATGAATATTCTGGAAGAAGAATTGAGGGTGAAGTGGGGAAAGAAAAATGTCTTCCTTTTACTTTGTTCACTGGACAAAGAAGCTGGGTTTTCGTCTGTTTTTTAATGGTTGTATTTTCTCTTTGCAAAATTGAGTGTCCTGTGAGAAAACTATCCCGAAAGTGTCTATGAATGTGTTGTTGAGGTGCTTGCTAATTATTAAAATGAATAGAGTGTTGGACCTAGATAGAGGTCTGGGCACTACTGGGTGGTCTTGGAGAAGTTTACAGCCTCACATGACTGTAATAAAGATATAAAGCAATAACTTCATGTATGCCACCTTGGCTTCCTAGAGAAAGCGTTGCACACAAATGTGATCACTAAGAAATTTCATGGATTGCAGATGGTGTTAGTCAAGATATTTGCCCTCCCATGAATGTCATGATTTCTCTAAAAGGAAGATTTTTAAAAAGTCTTCTATTTTTGCAGAGAAGACGTGGACCGAAAGCTCCAGGCAAAAGCTGTTTCTAATCTATTGAAGATGAGCTCCAATCAGGTCGGGTTTCTAGGATACATCACGTCAGCTCCTGGCTCCAGAGATTACCTGGAATTAACTGAAAATGGCAATGTTAAGGTATTATGATGTGAAGGATAAAAAAGAACAACTCGAGATTAATAACAATATAGATTGGTGGCATATATTTATGCCTGAAAAAGTAAACTGAATGAAACTCTGTGTGCAGAGGTAAAAGATTTCAAGATCAGCTCTTCAAAAGTTCAGATTTATTTTTAACATCATTTTCTCCCCTATAAGTGACCATTAGGGTAGCTAGATGTAAAAGGGGAAAGGACTCCTATGATTTTAAGTTTTAATTTCAACTCAGTCCTTATGTCAGGTTAGATCATTGCCTGTTGAGATTTATGCTACTAACGGCTTTTCCTCTCTGTGAGGGGGCCCATTAAAAATGGTTCCTCAGAGAAGCTGATGGATCCAGATGGCTTCCAGAAGATTTTGGGGACAGGGAGAGGTTCCAGTTGATATGGCTGGTGTTTCTTTAGAAGCCCTGGTTGGTCCATGGAACAAAGAGATGACCCAGATGGCTGACATAATTGCTTGTGAGTGCTCTCTCTAGTAGAGCTCATATGACTGTGTTGTATGCACTGGAACAGAAAGCCATGAAACAATACTGGAGACAGCTAGAGTGTAGATGGAGAAGCACTCCTAGTGGGTACAGTCAAACTTGGTATGTACCCATAGTCAGGCATTCTTAGGGGCAGTGAGGGTGGCAAAAAACCAACATCTCACTGACTCTGTTCCACCTTTTATTTGCTGCCCAGCGAAGTTTTGTAGGGCCTTCTGGAACCTATTACATGTGGGCTCCAAGGACATCCTAGATCCATTTGAAGGTTGCTGTAATATATTCACTGAGCTTTTCCAGGAAAAACAGTGACAGCGAGACCATTTCTGGAGAAATCCTTCCTGGACTTGGAAGATCTTAGTAACATTAAACTGGTAGCAAATATTTTCTTCCTGGGCAAGGTTCCTGAGTGGATGGTGGCCAACCAGCTCCAGGCACTCATGGATGAGATAGATTATTTGGATCTGTTTTTCTGAGGATTCAGGCTAGGCTTGGCATGGAAACAACATTGCTTGTTTTAAAAATGATGGCCTATGTCAGAAGGGAGACAGAGGAATGTGAGCCTGTTGATATTTCTGAGTCTCTTGGGGTCTTTTGATACCTTCAGCCATAGTATCCTGCTGAGGCAATTCTCTGAGCTGGGAGTGGAAAGTACTCCATTGCAGTTGCCTACTTGTTACTGGCTCCAGAAGATGATACTTGGGGAATATTGCTTGGCCCTGTGGATTCTCCAGAATGGATTTCCTAGATGTCAGTTTTGTCTTCCGTGCTGTTGAACATCTACATGAAACCACTAAGTGAAATCATCCAGGGCTTTGGAGTGTGTTGTCACTAGTATGCTGATGACACACAGTTCCATCTCCCTAACAGAACTAACAGAAAGACAAGTCCCTAGAAGCAAAAATGGCAAAACTGGGGCTGTCATACTTTGTACACATCATGAGAAGGCAAGACCCCGGAGAAGACAATCATGCTAGGGAAAGCTGAAGGAAGATGATGAAGGGAAGACCAATTATGAGATGGACTGAATCCATAAAGGAAGCCACAGCCTCAAACTTGGAAGAGCTAATACAGGTGTCATGAACAGGACGTTTTGGAGGGCCTTCATTCATAGGCTCACCTGTTAATGGTTGCACAAGTTGATGGTGCACAACAGCCACATACTTTGGTCATCTCTAAATTAGATTATTGCAATGCACTGTATGTGGGGCTGCCCATAAAGACTGTACAGACGCTTCAGCAAGTGCAAAATGTAGCATCCAGATTAATAAGAGAGACTAGAAAACCAAACATATAAAACCAATGTATTGGGTGCCTCTGTGCTTCTAAGCCCAATTCAAGGTGCTGCTTTTAACCTTACATAGCTCTGAACCACAATACCTGATGGAGTACCTGGCCCAACCTGAATCTGGATTGGAAAAGGTGTTGTAGCTGCTTAAATCATTTTATATATTGTATTTGGAAAAGTTTTTATTGTATCGCATGTTTGTGTTTTTATGAATTGTGTACTGCCCAGAGTGCTTTGGCTGTATTGGGTGGTGATACAAAAAAGAAACAATAACAGCAGTTTTACTACTGTTTAGGATATCGACAACACAGATCATGACAGATGGTGCAGCTATATAATGTATCGTGGGTTAATAAGGTATGTTAATGGATAATTTATTTTCCTTTAGCCCTTCTCTGATGTTCTTAAGGTCTACTTATGTCCCCTTTGTACTGCTGTTTTGATGCTGTGCACACATACAGTCTTACTCGTATAATGAAAAAGGGGTCATGGAAGAATGTGGGAGCAGATGTTGTGCTCAGCACAGCAGGTCAAGATATGAGCAGATCTCTGTCACAACTGAATGGAGCATCATTGCTACACCCTCTTCTTTCATGGTATAGGTGGATATCACCAATCCAATTTAGTAGAGATTTGCCTTCATGATACATGCTTTCCTTGGTGCTGTCTGTCTCCTGCATAATCAGGGCCCTAGCAAATAATTTTGCATAATGAAGGCACGTAATGACAGTTTTAAGTATGCTGGCTGTGGGACTATGGGAACTGTAGTCCAACACATCTGGGCAGCACCAGGCAGAAGAAGACAGAAGGATGACTAGGATGTTTCACTTCATTGAAAAAAATTCTGCATTTATGGTAGGTTGGGGTATGCTCGAATTTCTCATGCTCATCTAAGTGATTCTGAGCTGCAATTGGCAAAATTTAGAATCCCAGAGGATCCTTTGAATTACATGGACAATGACAAGATTGCTATTGACCCCAGTGAGGTTCCTAAGGAAATACACTTCAGCTCCAGGTTAGTGTTTTTTTAAAAATAAAACTATGTATGCTGTTTTCACCTAGTAGAAGTATGAAAGTGAAATATGAGAAATGAATCAGTACAGTTCAGCCATCTATTAGAATGTTTTGGAGTTGAAAGTTCCTTTTTTGTAATGCTATGTCTAATTGTAGGAATATGATAAGGGAATATGGAAAAGCTTCTTTTGGAAAAGCTTCTTTTGTTGTAGTTTTGTGGTTAGATTTTCATGTGAAAGTCTAAGTGAAGTCAAGGAAACACTTAGTGCTATCATATGCATATTTATTCCAGCATAAGTTCCATTTAATTCAGTAGGGCTAACCGTGCAAAGCTATCCATGTCTAATCAGAAGTAAAACCCATTGAGTCTAGTTTGTAGCATTAGTCCAAAGTTAGTGTACAAAGGACTGAGGTGCATCTCTATATAAAACTTGTAAAAATTAGTACTAGTTTAGTCAGGGGAAACACAAAATTAAATAGTTCAATTTCTGCATAATGTATTCTAAGTTTATATTAATATAGTATTATGTTTAAAAACTGCCTGATTAGGGAAGTTGTAACATGTTTATGGGATACACTTTTTTTTTTTTGCTTAGGTTTGGATCCTACAAAGAAGGACACAATTATGAGCTGAATCATCACTTTCACATGAACACACCAAAATACTTTAAGCAAGCTAATTAGAAGAATGACCTTCCAATATAGTCACAAAAGGGAAGAAAAAAAGTCAGAGCACAATTACTGGATTCACTTTAAGCCTAAGTAAGACACATCAAACTTCAAAAGCAAGTTTCCAGTCTTTATGATTTGGGGATACATTTCTAAATACATATTTAATATACAAATACATACTTAAATACATAGAAACTACCTCATAAAATCACAGAAGTTGGAGCACGTGGCTGAATCCAATTTCTGATGATGGTGACCTTGCATTTATATGATAATTTATATTTACAGGGAATTATAATCAAATTTGCAGATGACACAAAACTGAGTGGAATACTTAATACTCCGGAAGACAAAAAGAAGATCCAGGGTAATCCTGATAGGTTAGAACACTGGACTGAAAACAAAACAAAAAAAATGAAATTCAATAGGGACAAATGGCAAGTCCTCCACCAAAGAGAAAGACACCAAATGCATCACTACAAGTTGGGGGATATTTGGCTCAGCAATATCACAAATGAGAAACAGCTAGGAGTTGTTGTAGACTGCAAGCTAAATATAAGCCAACAATCTGCTGTAGCTGCAAAAAGGTCAAATGCTATTTTAAGATGTATTAATAGAAGTATCACTTCCAAATCATGTGAAGTAGTAGTTTCCCTATGCTCAGCACTAGTCAGATCTTATCTGGAGTACTCTGTCTAGTTCTGGATACCAAAGTTTAAGAAAGATGCAGACAAGCTGGAAAGGGTTCAGAGGGAGGAAGGCAACAAAGATGATCCAGGGACTGGAAACAAAGCCCTGTGAGAAGAGATTGAAAGACCTGGGCATGTTTAGTCTTGAGAAGACTGAGGAGAAATAGGATAATATACTATAAGGCTGTCACAAAGAGGAAGGACAGGATCTCTTCTCAATCATTCCAGAGTGCAGGACATGCAATAACATGCTCAAGTTACACCAAGCCAAATCCTGCTTAGATATCAGGAAAAATTCCCTGAGTGTTAGAGCAGTACAACAATGGAGCCAATTACCTAGGGTGTTTACGGGCTCTTCCACACTAGAGGCATTCAGGATGCAACTGGACAGTCATCTGAGTGGGATGGTAACTTTGTGTGTTGCAACAGGATGTGAGCCACCCCGAGGCTTCGGCGAATGGGGTGGCATAGAAGTCTCCTAAATAAATAAATATATAAACAAACAAACAGCAGGGGATTAGACCTGATGGGTGCCTTGGCCCCTTTCAGCTCTACTATGATATCCCATCTTTTTTCTTCTTTTGAGGAACCCAAGGAAGTTCACATAGCTCAGCTTTATCCTCACAACTACTCCTCTGTGAGGTTGGCTAGGCTGAGAGTTTGGCCCAAAGTCACTCCGTGAGCTTCATGGCCAAGTGGAAACTAGAATCCAGATTTCTCAAGTCCTCAATCCAATGTTCTGACCTCCACACAGTAAGGTTCTCTTAAAGCTTTAGCATCCTAAACCATCATCCTTGGTTGCCCAACAGAAGCATATTCAATTATTTATACAGTAATAAGCCTAATGTGTATAGTTAATTTAGGATATAACATTCAGCTTTTCTTGGTGTTTATTTTGGGTTACCTTGATACAGAATTTTGACATGGGTGTTTCAGTGCAGAATCCACACAAATAAGTCTTCCTGTTCCATTACTTGCCTGCTTTTTGCATCCAATAAAATAGGGTTTCCTTGCATGGCACAATGCAGACACCAAGCTTGCTATGGTTTGCTGTGCTGTATGAATCCAGGCAGTAAGGCTTGTTTCACACCTGGGTTATTTGAGGGTTGCCTAACCCATGAACAGTACCTGCCATCTGGGTTTTCATGACATGACAAGCCATGGTCATGCTTGTCTTCATTAGGAGTAGGGAATGGCATATAAATGCAAATATAAACAAACAAATAGTATGCCAGCTGTCTGTGGGTACCTGGACTATTGTGACATTTGTCACGGTAAATAAAGCCACAGTGGGCTGTTGTGTCCTGTGACCCTGATTTTTATTTTATTTATTTATTCATTTATTTAGAAGACTTCTATGCCGCCCCATTCGCCGAAGCCTTGAGGCGGCTGATGTATTGCTGTACTGCCTATAAACTTACAAACCAGCTGTCTTTTAGTACAAAGCTGCTGTGAAGGTTGTTGGCTGTATGATAGACAGGGTATGTGCACTGTTTTCTGTTTTACTTGGTTTGTGCTTTTAAAAGTGAGGAATTGGTGCCATGAAAGTGCAACTTAAGCTGTTCCAGCTGGCAGTGGTCCTCTGGGAACTGCCTGCCAATTAAACTATTCAGTCACTCTTGAGTTCCTGTCCTAAAATGACCTTTACTGTCCCATTACAGCAACTGTAGCAACCCCTCCATGGATAATGTCCTTTTGTTCTAGCTGTATAGTAGATTTGAAGCATTTGGTCCTGTATGCACTATTCCTTTGCAATATTAGTGCCTATGAAAGGGCATTATCATACAATAACAAGTTCTGACTGCTATGATAAGTTTACTGCAGTGAATTTACTGTCACTGCAGGGCTCTTAAATGGGAATAGTCTCATTCTACTTGTTTGGGGCCCTGAAAATACAGTGGTACCTTGGCTCACGAATTTAATCCATTCCAGGACTCTGGTCGTGACCCAAATTGGTCATGAGCCAAGTTAAATTTCCCCATAAGGTTCAATGTAAATAAGGTTAATCCGTTCTGTAACTATTTTTTTAATTGGAAAAATGTGGAGCAAAGTGACAAAGAACAAGGATCGTGGCCATCTCCCCCCCACCCTGAGCATAAGTGTGGCCATCTCCCTGCCCCCCCGCAGCATGATCATGATCGCGCCTGTCATCCCGGTGCGCTGCGGGGGGAGACACGGGTGCGAACGCGGGTGCGCTTGGGGTGGGGGGAGACAGGCAGATCGTGCTGGTGGGGGAGATGGCTGAGATCGTGGTTGTGCTTGTGCAGGAAAGACGGGCGCGATCGTGGCCATCTCCCCACTTGGGCAGGTGTGGGGAGATGGCTGTGATCGCGGTCGCCACCCAATGCGGAGTTTGCGACCTGAGTCAAAATGTTTATGAAATTTTTGTTCGCGACCCGATTTGGTTGTGAACTGAGGTGTTCGTGAGCTGAGGTACCACTGTATTTTCTGAATAGCTGAACTGTCCCATGTGCTTATCTGTTGCAGTTTCATGCAGGTATTACATTGTGATGCCATTATATAAAGGAATTTGTCAAACACCAGCTACCACCCTGAAAGGTCTTATTTGTTTGAATAACATGGTACTTTTTGCTCACACCACAAAACTGTTACAAAGAAAATTGTGTAAGAAATCCATGTTTTTAATTGACTCTACATTCAACAGTATATGAATCAGAAGTTAAATTGCAATTATTCATTATTTATTTATTTAGGAAGCTTCTATGCCGCCCCATTCACCGAAGCCTCAGGCAGCTCACAATAATAAATAAACAAACAGTATAAAAACAATATAATTTGAGTCGACCTGGCCAATAAATAAATAAATAATATTAACAATTAAAATAACGTTTGAATAAAAAGGTCTTCGCCTGGCGCTGAAAAACAAATGACGACGGCGCCAGGCGGATCTCCCTGGGGAGCGCATTCCATAGATTGGGTGCCATTGCAGAGAAAGCCCTCCTCCGAGTACTTACCCTCCTAAATATCCTTCACGGAGGGTTCCCGGAGAAGGGCCTCTCCCGCTGATCTCAAGGGGCGGGTGGGCATATATGGGCATTATGCCAGTAACAACTGTGATCACTTGATTTTAACCATGAAAGAGAAACTCAAAATCTCTTTCAGTGGAGAAGAGGTTTTGTGTTATCAAAAATCTAGTTTTACTTTGGAATTTATAAATAAAATAAAAGATGGCATTAAGGCCTCAATTTAGAAATAGTTGGACAAAACTGTTTGGCTATAATTTTTAGCCTACATCAGTAAGCTCTTTGAAAACAGGAGCTTACATAGCAGTGATGAGAAATGAGCATATTTAATGTTTTGAATTATGTAAAAAGTAAGAGTTTCCCAGTACCCCTTTATAAATTTATCTATGCCCACTTTTAATAGTATATTACTCTGATTGCTTTATCTTCACAATAATAGAATAGAGCTGAATAAAGGAACAGTAAACAGGAACTTGGAATATCTTCCTTCTTGTGAAATACCAAAGTGACTGGGGCTTTTTAACCAGAGGCAAAAGGAGGTTGATGAAATTATGGAAGCAAACAAGAAAGAGAATGTATTATTTCAAAATTCTTTCTTTTTAATATTAAGCAGAACTTCTTTGAGTGCCAAAGTTCTCAGCTCAAAAGCTATTGTTGTGCAGTCTGATAGTGATCACTGATGTACACGTTTTAAAATAAAAGATTTGACAAACATATGGTGGCTGGGTTTATCAGTATTATCACTATTAGCCATAACAGCTTGAAAAAAGAACTTAAAGAACACTGTACTTGCTTTAATATTATGGACTGAAAACTAGAGATGGGTTACCTTCATTATGCTCTGATTATAGTGTTCAGGAGCCATTGCCTGCTTTGGAGGACATTGTTAGACCAGAGGGACCTTTGAATTAGCATGTGTAAATCTTAATTTGAAGTAACAATGTCAATAAGAACAAATTAGTTGTGAATGCTTTTAGGACTTGCACAAGCAACACTGCAGAGCAGACCAACAATAGTTTTTGCTCTGTTTGTCATAGGCCATATAAAATATTTGAGCCCTTTTCCTTTAGGAATGGGGGGACATGTAGGCATAGACTGTGAATGTTATGTATATGCTACACACAGCTTGTACCTACACCCACTTCATCTTATTATGATTGTTATTTATTGTTATAGCAGTGACTGGCCTTCTAGCCAAAGTGTGTTTCTATTTAACTTCCTTGCTGGTGATATCTAGTTCAGCAAAGATGCACATAGCCAGCCCTGTTTTTTTTTTAACTGGTGGGCAGCCATCATAATTTTTTTAAGCCTTGATTTTAAAAATGTGTTTGGATGTGCAGTTCCTCCATCACTTACTTCCAGCAGTCTTTTTAAAATTTTGCATATCTACCTACTTGTATACATTCAGCTTATTCTGGAGGACTTTCTGCACTTGATTGTGCACATGAACAAGCTGGCAGCATCTGCATCAGACAGTGATTTCCAGACTTTTGGCTAAGGCTCCTTGGGAGCCCCAATGCACACTCAGATGCACTGAAGATGAACGGTGGATGGTCCTAAGGTTTCATGTGGAGCATAGACCAAGGTCAGTGATTTAACAAAACAGGCTTAAATGATAAAGAATCCTGCTCTAAATAGAGATCCGACTGATGGCTGTTCAACACTGTCGATCTTTTCATTGGCAAAACACTTGATTTTGAACCCAGCATTTCCAAGATCACAGTATGAAAATCTTTTTATCTAGAAACAATTTGCCAGCATCATTGATGCTATTGTATTTTCTTTAGATGGTTTATGCTCCTCCCCTTTATCATGAAGAATTCAGAAGCATAGAACAGAAATAAGATCCTCATAAAACCTTAGCAATAAAATAATCAACACTACACAGTTCAGAGAAGGTGAAGTATCATAGTGTGACTCATTATTTAAAATCAAATAGTAGCAGAGGGAGGGACAGCCTAAGGTGGCATGGCTGAAAAAGTCCTGCACCTTATCTCCCACCTCACTTCAGGTTTGCTTTAAATAATAATATTGTCTTTCTTTATGCCTGTCTGTTCTTCCCATTCAACTTTTTGTAAACACATCAGAAATCTGACTGTATGTCTCCAATACTCTCCCCACAACTGACATTGAAATAGGCTCTCTTGGCATTTCTGTGAAAAGCCTTTAACCTACTTATGCTACATCTCCTTTTGGAGATGCTTAAAACGACTAACAATGCAACATTTTAAAAAATCACGCACTCAAATATTAAAATACAAAAGCAAAACAAAATATTGGTTTAACCAAATACCCTAGATCCAATTCAAAACTGAGTTAAACTGAAATTTCCATGAAATGTTCAGACTTTCTGGTTTAGTGGTTCCCAACTTTTCTTCACTTTGTACCTCTTGGCAGTCCATTTCCATAAATTAGACCCTTCATATTAGCAAAATGTTTGTCATTAATATAGGTGCTTTTATTTCAAATTTATATATTGTAAATAAATAGCACAATAATGGGAGTAAAAGGCAATGAAATAAGATGAACAGTGTATATATGTTTACATTCAAAACTCAAAAGGTTTTCCACAATTATTCTTTTTTTCCCCCACATATCGCTAAATGTCCTGGTTTATATTCCAGGATGGAATCACTTTTCTAGTTTCTAAACTTATTGCTGAGTCAAAAAAGAATTTAAGGACACAAAGCCAAGCAAGAATGATGAAGAATCTCAAATAGTTTGTAGTATTTGTATCTAAACTTTAACAGGGATGCCAAGGGAATACACAAATTAGGGACACCATCCAGATGGCAACATTTCTTCCTGCTCAGAAAACAGTCCTGGGACTGCAGCCCCTCATGTTCCTTTTCCACTGCCACTAACCCTTCTGCTAAACCTACAGAAACATAATGAGTCAAAAGGGGTCTCCCAAGCCATCTAGTCTGACCCCTATACTTGAGAGATACAACTGTGCAGATAGAACAGAAACCATTAGCAGAGGTCAATAAATTCACAGCTTGGGAAGTGGTGTGTGCAGAGTTCACACAGCTTGATATTTCTTTTCTGAAACATTAAAGGGGCCAAATATTTTGCTTGGATGTATCTGTTACACAGGCTTTTACAAACATCTACACTACATACCTGGTGGTAAGAGCAGAATGTTTCAGCTGTAGATCAGAAACAAAAAACATGAAAGAATCCTGCCTCATCTTAAAAAATAAAGGTTATTACCCCATGCAGGGATGGGGTAAAAGCCAGAACAACCCCCTTATTTTTTTAAAAAAATGTTAAAATAATGGCATGTTTTAGAGACACTTAAGAACAATATTTTAGGACTGAAACAGTAGCAATATTATACCATTATTAACACAAAATTCCCAGAACCCATTGGAACAGAAGGGCCCAGAACTGCTACTTCATGAGAGCCAAGCCTTATCACATACAACTATATGGCAGGGATGCAATGAGCCATGGAACTTCTGGAGAAACCACATTTTGATATTCATTCTGGGTCATAGCTCATGATCACTTGCAAGCTGCTGTTTCCAGGATCATGGTCTCTGTGAATATTTAGTGACTTATTGCATCACTTCCATCCAGTTATGTGTGATGGTGAATTTCATTGGCTTGGCTCAGCTGAAAGTTGGTGTTCAGGCTAGTCCACATTGTGTCAGATGACCTCTGGGGATTGTGAGGTTAATAATTCACTATTTAAAAGGTTTCAGTCTTAAAATGTTCTCAAGTATCTAAGGCATGCCATTGTTTTTGGCACGCTTTCTTTTTTAAAAGGGGGCTGTTCCAGCCTGTTGCATTTTGGCTTTTAAACCAACCCCTTCCCCAAGTGGGAATAAAAATGTAGAGGATCAGATCTTAATAAATGTATTGTGGTATAAATTTTCATAGGCTAGACCCCACTTTGTCAGATTCATGAAGTTACTTTCTAAGTTGGCAGGTATTACAAATGAAAAAGTTTATAGGAAGCAAGCAACATTGAAGCCATTGACAATGTGAGCTATCTCAAGAAGTGTTTTTATGTGTGTCATTTTTATAAACATTTTCCCTTTGTCTCTTTCACATTGTTGTGTGCATGTGTGCACACTTTTTTTTAAGCATTAGATATGGCTTCATGCTTCAATGAAGTGGGCACTAGCACGCAAAAGCTAGTGCCCCGATAAACCTGTTCATTTGCACTATAGTCGTATGTACTACACCAGACTATCTTCAGGCTAAAGCAAATGCAGATTCTGCAAATATTACTTGCATCAAATAGTGACTGATCTAATGACATAACCCTGAACATTTAAAACATGCACATAACAGTATTCTACCTACTAGAAGTTATATTCTTAGGGCACTCGTTACCTGAAGAGGCTTAAACATTGGGGGTAATAAGTAACCTTGCTTTTGTACATAGGTTACATCCCTGCTTCCGTTGCTGATTAAAAACACCGCTGCGTTTTAAACACTCGTATAATTTTGCAAAAAAAGAAGCTGGTATAATAAGACATAACACGTTGACCCTTTGTATAGCATTATCCTCTGTCAATCAAGCAAGGATCGTTAATGTCAAACTCTACCTCTGACGCAGTGTTCGATTTCTTCCAGCTTTATGCCAAAGCTATGTGAGTTGTAAACGCCAGGAGTGCCATCTACTGGTCATGTAGGGCGAGTACTTAACATTTCTCTATGATGTTTGTTTTGTTAATGCGTCTTTCCCCTTCCCTTCCCCACCACTTATCCATGCGTTTTTTGCAAGCCTTGCAGTTTACATCTTTAAAATAACCCCTGAAAAAGCCCATTTAGCTTCTTGGGGAAGATCTTACGCGTTACCAAGTTTGCCATACATGAGTCTGTTTTATGAATGGCTTAAAGATTCCAAGCAATACAGGGTCGAATACCTTGCCCACATTCTATTGCACTTTGGCTTCCGGAAGGCTCACGTCGGTGTTCTCAGCAATGACAGAAAGAAGGGATTTACTCCTCCCGCGCCCCCAAACGCTGAAAATCATCAATGGCTTGCGTTCCATCATTCGATTCCCGAAGTGGGCGTGGTCTCGAGTCTTTCCTATCCAATCAGATCGAGGGGCCACACAACGCTAGTGTTCGTCCTTTGCACGCGCTTTATGTGGTGATTGGCGGCTGCAGTAGCCCAATCGATCCTGGGAGCTGGCAGTCCTTTTCCAGACCTATTCACCAATGAGGAAGCACAAGAGCCGAGATGGGCGAGTTAGGTGGAGAAGGCCGTACCGAGAGGACAGGCAGCTGATGCGACCCGTCGGAGCGGCGGCGAGAAGTCGGAGCGAGGAAGCGCCATCCAATGGAGGCTCTGGGAGGGCGGGGCCAAAGGGCGGGTCTTTGCGCTGGGGAGAGCAGAACGGAACAGTGAGGGAGCCGGTCGGACCGCCCGCGCGGGGCAGTGTGCGCGCGCGCTACCGCTGCACGAAAATGCACTCGGATGCTGCCGCTGTCAGTAAGTAGGGGAGCAGGTCTCGGGCGGGAGAAGGGCGTCCGACAGCTCCTGAGCGGGAGTGGAGAGGGGGAGGGAAGGGAATGTTCTCTTTCTAGTAGGGTGGGGGTGGGGGACATGTCAAAAGCGGAGTGGGGGGACGGATGAGGCAGCGGTGGACGGGGTGAGGAAGGGAAGCTAGCGGATAAAGGGGGTGGCGCTCGTGGGGAATACGGGGAGTGGGAATGGCTTGTGACGCAGTTTGCCCAGCTTCTCTCAGGAATTCTTCCGGATATAAATTAATCTCGCTGCCTAGTGAAGAGAAGAAGAGGGTCTTCTATTCCTACCCAACGCCAGTCATCTCCCATCCTCCTCCTGAATTAGAAGGAGGCGGGAGGAGGGAAGGAATCCTTTATCTTCAGGGATCTGGGGCCCGTTGTGAAAGGGAGAAAGGAACACCTCTCTCTTTCTCTCGCTCTCTCTCTTTCTCTCCCCCCTCTCCCCCCCCTCTCTCATTGCATCGTGGGAGTTTGAGTCCTTCTTTTAGCTCCTGCGCAGCGCAATGTTGGTTGCGCACTACAACTCCCAGAGTGCAATGCGCTGCCAACTGTCTTTCCCCACACACCCCCTCTGTGCTCTGCCACCATTCGCCCCTCTGTTTGGCACAGTGGGTTGCAACTTGAGAGAGAACCCAGGAACGCAGAGCGCAGGTACAGAGGTCCTTGCAGTGGGTCCTGCTCAGGGAATCGTGAGGCTGTTGCTTTTGGGTCGGAGGTGGTGCTGTACCTACTTGTCTCTTTTAAGAAGAAAAGGCAGCTCTAAAAGAGGTGCAGGGCTAATCGCTTTTATTCATATGATTTGATGCCCCTTAACTTGTACAGGTCTTGCTATTTATTTAGTGCTTTGCCTCTACTAGGCAATGTTTCCTATTGCTTGATTGACATTGGCTGTTTTCTAGAGAAGCCATCAGGAGGAGAAGAAAAAAAGTGAAGAAGTCATTGACTCTGTTCCTAAACACACTATCTTGGAAGTTCTATTGAAGTCAGTAACTTACTTCCAAATATACTTAGTTCCAAATTCATCCGAACAGGTTATGTTGTTTCTAGGCAGTATTTCCAGGAGACAAAAACCACATTTTGCCTTGTATCTATCAATAACAACCCACTATTTGTGTAGACTTGTTATAGACTACAGTTTTCTTATTGAAGCAGTCCTACTTTTTGGATATAAAAACTAAAAATGCACACACTATTTCAGGCTTATTAAGAAGTGCACAAATCTTACTAGCATTCTGCAAGACTATTAACTATTGTTTGTGAGACAGGAAGGAAGGGAAGCCCCTTCTTCCAAAGGCAGCATTAAAAAGCAGACTGCTAGTCTCATAGCATGCTAGGATTTAGAAGGCTAATTTTAATAAGTATCTGCTTCTATGCGACTAATGAAAAGAGGGGTAAAGAGATCCATTCTTCCTCTACCAGACTGATCACCTAACTGCATGGAATTCCTGATTAAGTGTGACTACCAGATGAATTTTTAAATAGAAGACTATGTTATGTGCATCACACTTGTCCTTTCATGATCCAAGAGAGTACCCCAATCCTAAGCCTGATTGTTTGAATCTAAATCTCATTGACTTCAGTGGTACTTTCAACAAAATCTGGCTTTAGTTGGGTTTTCTCTATTTCTGAAGTCTGTAGGGTTCTGTCTTCATCTTCTGATTTTTTTTTTTTTTTGTGGGGGGGGATGAATAATTCTCATACACTTTTTTGTGTGGCTGTAAAACTGTATTAAGATCAGATATTTTAGAACTTAACTCTTTATTTCTGAAGGTAGAGTGTGGAACAAAATAGTCTTGCTGAGGTCCTGGATGTTTTCCTCTTGCATATTTGTTATTGTTGCTTGGTTGTAAGGCAAGTAGTACATATCATAGTCTGTAATGTTGTTGTTGTTGTTGTTATTATTATTATTATTAGAACATTTCTATGCCGCCCCTTGCCAAAGCCTTGGGGCAGCTTACAAACACAATAAAATACAATAAAATACAAAAATAACAATATAAAATTAAAATTAACAATATAAAATAACTAAAAATATAAAATGAAATTCAAACTAAATTCCTCTTAATCTCTTCTATGACAACAACATAATACAGGCTAGGATATTTGAAGGCTAAGACTGAACACAAACTAGCCAAAATACAGAATAAAATATATTAGAATGATATGTTCCAGGTTTGTTCTGGCTATTGGAGACTAACCTCATTAAAAGGTTGTGCAAGTGCTTCCAAAATGTCTTGGGGTTGAAGTACAAATTGTGTATAATATATTCACCTACTTTTAAAAACAGTATAGCAGTTAAGCCAAAATACTCTCTAAAACAAAGGAGTTAACTACCTAGTGTTAGAAGTGAAGCCACCATGAGATTAAGAAACAAAGAAAGCACCATCTGAAATGACATATTAAGCAAAATGAAGTACTGGATATAGTTGATGGGTAAACAAACCATTACTAACTAATGCTACAATCCAATGCATACTGAAAGTCTCATTAATTCTATGACACTGACATGAATAAACATGTATAGGATTGCACTATTATTTCAAAAGCATAGTATTGCAGTGCAAACCTTTACATGTCTAAGGAGAAGCAAGGGTCATGGTGTTCATTGGGACTCACTTTCATGTGAAGGGCAGTTCTATGCGTAAGTAAACCCTGCTGGATTCAGTGGGAGTTACTTCTGAGTAGATGTATAAAGGACTGCAGCATTAGAAAGCAATACTTGGCCTTCCAAGAGAATTTTGGGTCAATATCCTTAAATAGTTACTAAGCTATGCCTACAAACCTATGACTCAGCACTTCTTTCATAAAGATAAACTAACATATCCTAGTCAGTTTTGCACGTGCAGTGCTGAATGCCTGAAACATCACATCCATTCTTATTAATTTGTTTAACGTGAGGCCAGGCTGCTTGTAGAAAAAGTCCTGTTATTTTTTCAGAAACAAGATTCTCCCACCAATTGTTGTTTTTCCTAATGTGTTGGAATTGGTCAGTGTGGCCAGAAAAAGATGAACTCGGAAGGTTTTGATTTTAAGCATAGGCTGTTACTTCTGAAGTCCACAAGTTTTGGTTTATCCTCAAGAATTTCTCATTCTTTGTATGAACATAGCAAGATGGATTCATGCCATCCTCTCTCTGCTTTATGTATTGGATGAACCATGCCTTTCTCTGAAACACCTTATTGCATTATCAACTGGTTTAGCTAGGCTTCAAAGAGCAGTATTGGGAGTGGGACTTCTTCTGATTTGCCCTCCTAACAAACCGTTCTCGAAATACATCGGGAACTATGACTTGAAAAGCGGGGGGGGGGGGGCGCAAAGTGCTACTGAGTGCATAGAAAACTTCACAAAGCTAAGCAAATCTTTAGGATTAGTTTGTAAGGCTAAGAACTTGTCACGTTTCCTTGGAAAACTAGACCCTCTAAAATGTATGGGTAACTTGGATGGCCCTTGAAATTTTATGGTACTAAACTCTCACCAGCCCTAGCCAGCCTAGCCAGTAGCGATAGGAAATTATAGGCCAAAACATCAGAAAGGCCACAAGTTGCACACCTTATTAATAACATTGTAGGGGTTTGTTTGTAGGTCTTTGCATTTCCCTTAAAGGCTTCACCTTTAGGCTGCAGTCCAACATACCCTTACTAGGGAGTACTGAATTTAGAGGGACTTGGACTATAGCCGTGGGCAGTTTTCTGAGAATAAGTCCTTTTGATGAGACATACTTCTGAGCAGACACATACAAGATTACACTTTTCCATGTAAGCATATCTAAGATCATACTGTCAAACATATTTGACAGGAACGACAGTCTATTGAACTTGGAGGAAATTGATTTTAAGTAAACATGTATTGTATTTATCTCTTAGCCTGTAGGATATCATTCCAGCACAACAGAATCCAATGTTTGGAAGTAAATACTCAGTTTGTTGTATTGTATCTAAACAGATGTTGCTTTGAAGCAAGTTTAATATGAAGCTTTCTTTACTGTAATCTTCTTTCGCGTGCATGCACTTAATTTACACAAGCACTTATGTAGGGTGTCTTTTCTGTACCCTTCTGCACTCAAATCTCCTTGGATTCCTTAGGAAAGGTCTGGGATGTGGTATGTACACAGCTGCAACGTGGCCGGGGGCGGGGGGGGGGGGTGGAAATAGCTGAAAAATGGGCAGAGATGCTTGCACAAGATTTTTCCCTCCCACTGCAGCTGCCTATGCTACTTCCTAAGAATCTCACAGGAGGCTTTTGAGGGACATGGTTCTGTAGTGGGGAGAAAAGAGGTGGGCCAGATGTTGTGCAAGTGGTCTTCTGCTTGGATACCAGTTTCTGGGCTTAAAATACTGTAGTATGCTATGTTTTAGACGCTTTTCTAAACAATCTCAAAATGAAAACGAATGCTCACTAATCTGGATTAACATTTTTAAAAAAATCCTTTAAAATAACAATACCCAGATGTAGCTCTAGGCAGCAATATTTTTGCTTCTGTGCACAGAAAGACTGAAGTTCTTTCAGCTTATTGTTAGGCAGCCCTATAATGTACCTGATTAATTAAATTTACTGACTTAATAAAACTTGTTGGTAAGTTACAGTAAATATGATTGCAGAGTTATTTTCACATTATTCCAAGTTATATAAAACTTTTAGTGAAGATTCGTATTGATTATCATTTCATGTTAATGCTAGCATAATGGGTGCGCCAGCTTCAGACCTCTCTCCAATTCTGGTGAATTTATTGCTCTTTAACTTTGCAGTATTTAAACTAGGAGGATGGCTGCACACTGCTTATCTTTGGAATGGAATTATCATGTAGCTTAGTTGCATGAAGTTATAGGAACAATAATGTAACATTTTCCCTAAAAGGTTCATTAAATTTGTCCGCTTAGCCAGTATTCACTGGCATTTACTATATGATTAGGAGTCCAAATCAGATGATTGGGTAATTGTTCAGGCCAAGAAACAGAGCCTAATAGT